CTACTTCCATATAAAGTCTGCTGATGAGACGAAGCCCAGTAAAAGTCATTGTCCTATACTGAATTAAATTAAATCTGCACATCTCACAGGTGAAAATATATAGAGAAGCAGATGATTTTAAAAGTATAGAAAAAATGTGAGACCACTAATCTGTGGATTATGCAACAGGAAGAAAAGTGACAAACACTGATGTTGGATAAATTAAATTTAACACTTTGCATACATGTGGTGCAGATCTTAATGAAATCTAACCCAAGAAGATTTGATCGGATGAAGTTGGGTTTTTTGGTAACTGTCCTTTACCCACTGTGAGACTGAATAGAGAATCTGGTCTGACCCGGGGCAAGAGAGATGCAGGGCAGCTGGAGAATGAATCACCACCATGTGAATCACATCCGTTGTCTTTTTCTCTTTCTGTTGCTGTTTACATCCACAGCATGTGTCCCCCATCTTATTGGAACGAAGGTTTGACAAACACAGGGAAACGATGACAGATCAGGAGACCGTGAGGAAGAAGCAGTTTCGCTTCAGGCAGAGAAACTTAACAGCTGTGCAAAGACGAGATGAACTGAAAGAGGGGGAATCCTCACGATCAGTAAACAATTTCAATGATAGCAATTGACTCGGACGTCTCATTAGAACAAATAAATTAGGTCTTTGACATATAGTAAAACAGATCACTTAGTAATTTAAAACAAAATGATGCATGTTTACAATCAATCATTTCTGAATGAAAAGTTTTGGATTTTGTTTCTCAGCATCATTGCAGTCATAGAATACAATGCAGATTTACTGCGTGAACTAGCAATGAGAGAAAATCTCCGGCTTGTTCTTCATCTTTGCGTGTAGACGCTCGTCCCTCGACACCACTGGGATTTTTTTTTTAAATAGGGAAAAAGAAATAAGAGAGGATGTGCCTTGGAGACACATTGCCTCCAGCAAACATGGAGGCAAGAAGTTGACCTTCGCTACTTGCACCCTTCCTCTCCACACCCCTGCCCAACCTTTTCTTCCTCTAGGTAAATTAAATTTTCCCCTGTAGTATATATATAGAGTATGTAGCAGTAGAAGAGGGGAAGAGGGGGGTTAGATGGATGGATTGATGGATGTAAGACTTGCGGTTGTACATACAGAGTATCACGTTCTGCTATTTTCATTTGGCTCTTTATTGCTCCCAGTTGTTGGGTTAAACAAACTGAGGCCTAAAAGAAGAGAAGGGGGGGCGGTTCGACCAATCCTGTGCTTTGTTCCTTGGAAGCACCTTTTGCAAGAAATGTCACAGTAGCTAAATCAAGCCGAGCAACGGCTATGAGAAACAGACTGAGGATGGAAGGGTGTGTGTAAGTGCGACTGTGTATGTGCGTATCTTCTGTCGAGCGAAGACCAAAGGTGGAGCACGATACTGTAGATGCAGGAAGCGTATCATGATGAATTCAGTAACATTCACTGGGGAATCGTTGCTCTCCTTATGGGAATCTGTGTTTGTGTGCGTTTTTCTGTATATGTATATATATGTGTGTGTGTGTGTGTGTGTGTGTGTATAGACAGAACAGTTAAGTGGTATGGGACATTCTCTGCTTGTAACTTCTCATGTAAAGACTAAGGAAGGGTGCTGCTTCTGGGCTGCAGTCCATGTGTTTGTTTCTCACAGGCTCAGGTTTTTTGACGTTCTCACACACATATAAACACACTAAACAGTGCTGGGAGGGGGAGGACTGGCCTCGTAGCTGGCTTCTTGTCAAACTTTGGAACGCATGCTTTCCAGCCCCACATATAGAGAGTAACCGTGAACTTGAGATTCAGGCGGACACGTACACACAGCCATCCACAGTTCAGATGCAGTTCAGTGTGTATGTGTGTGTGTACAGTATATGTGTGTATTATCATTCTTCGTGTTCATGACAGATGATGCTGTGTGAGTGTCCAGCATTGTTTGTGTGTCTCACAGAGAGTATCTATGCACAGGATGTAGTTTTCTTTCCTAACTGTCTGACATTGGTGGAGGTCCATCTTTCTTTCCTTGGGGGCTTTTCAGCACCTGCAATAGTGAAGGACACTTTGTCCTCCCATCTTTGCACTGCACTGCATCTGTTAACTTTTTTTCGTCTTTTCTTAGTCCCTTCTGTCTGTTTGTTTGGCCTCCTCACATCTGTTTTACGTTGTATAAACCAACTGATCGCGCAGTGAAATGTCATGTTTTGTCTTTGAACTGTGTAACCATCTTTTGATGTTGATAACATTTGACCTCTGGAAAGAAAGAAGGGGAAAGAGGATAAGTCAAATTGTGATGCAGCCCCATTACACACATTGAGTAAAATACAATCCTCCACAGTGTTTCTTTCTCTGGTGAACATATATACTTCTCTATTTTGGTGTGCCTGTGTGACATTTTCAGACCCTGGTATGTCACAGGAAGTCAAGACTGACACCCAGGTGATGTCAGGTGTCTGTGTGTTTATGTGTGTGTGTGTGTGTGTGTGTGTGTGTGTGTGTGTGTGTGTTTGTTTGTTTGTTTGTTTGTTTGTTTGTTTGTTTGTTTGTTTCAGACAAGTGGGTATGTGTTCACTGCTCTCTCCTGAAATAGGAATTTGAACTACTGCCATACTCACATGCACTCCACTCTGCTGTGCGGCTGTTTTTCCCATTAATTCCTCCAGTCAATCCAGTCCTACATCAGCTTGTCATCGCCCACCTCCATTCTCCCTCAGCTCTGCCACTCAGGACCAATCACACTCCCACATTTCAGTCACTCTGACGCCTGTTCCTCCAGCATTTGGCGACTGACCTGTGGACATTGCCGACAGCCGCCTTTTATGTCTCAGGCATGGCCCCCGGTGACCCATATCTTGTAATGCACATCCCCGTTTGAGGAGGCACTTCAAGTGCCCAGTGACCATGTTGTACAAGGATTTTTAAAGGATTACGAAGCTTTGCATCCGTCCATCCCTGCAGACTACCTTTTTTCTTTTTTTTATTTGGTACCTCTGCCATCTTTCCTCCTGGACTCTCCTGTCATTTTAACTTTAGTATATCTCCTTCTCTGTCCCTCCCATTACATTTTTCTACCCTGACTGTCTTTCCTCCCCATCCCACCACTTCTTTACATATTCCCCCCCCTTTCCAGCTCGTCCTCCCCACCTACCCCACCCCACCCCCCCTACAGCCCCAGGGAAATGCTCGGGCTCTCTCCGCAGAGACCTTGGCCCCAAGCAGAACAGCTCCATGCTGCTGTTTATGGCTGTGGGGGCTGAAGCAAGGGAGGTACCCACTATGGAATATGGAGACCATTAATATAAGTTGCGGCTGGCAGAGTGCATGTGTGTTAGCTGGCATCTGTGTCTGGGGTTTGAAGGTGTAGAGGTGTTAAATGATTAAAATTGTTGAAACATACATTTGAAATGAGAGTCAGTAAGTGCACAGCTGTACTCGTTCTCCATTGTTACATTTTTAAATTGTTTCTTTTGTTTGCCAAAAAAGTTAGCCGGGAGCTAAAAATGGGTAATTGAATCAGATAAAGAACAACAACAAAATTCTGGTTCAGTGGAACTCTGTAGATACAGCCAATCTTCAAATATGGCAATGGCAACAATTAAACTCTTTTTATGCTTTTTCTTTCATCCTTCAATTCCAAAGCCATTAATAGCTTAGTGCTGTTGCATACAGAAAGGTAAAGCAGGATGAAAGTGGGAGAGGTAGATATGAGGAGGAGGTGGAGGAGCAGGGTTGAGCTCTCTTTGAAACGGCTGGCAGAGTCAGGAAGTGATTAGACCGCTACAACAACTCCAATAATGACAATAGGGAAAACATGTCTGCAGCCACAACCACTTAGTATCAGGAACAGTGCCCAGTATGGTTCCTATTTCATTACAAGAGCAGGACTGAGCGTGGGAGGATGGGCACATGGAGAGAAAGAGAAGAAGTAAGGTGATGATGAGGATCCATGCAGAGGAACAAAACAGGATTTGAATTGTTCTTGTACTGAGAGGGAAATTTATAATAAAAACATATGTACAATTAACATAAAGGTTATGATGGCTGAAAGACTTACACTTTATTATTTGTAGTTTTAAACTGTTTCACTTGTAATATTACAAATGAAAAGGAGGATGATGACTAAAGCTATCTTGGGGAATGATGAAGTTAAAAAAAAGGTTAAAACACACATGACCCTCCAAATTCCTCTTTAAATGCTCAGTGTTGCTCGTACTGCAGCTTCAACATGTGGAGAACTGACAGACCTGACCGTGCCCGGTTACAGTTGCTAAGCTAAAGAGGAGGGATGGACAATCTTTCTGAGCCCGAGTAGAAATTTGTGTATTTTTGTGTCGTCGTTTTCACCGACTTGTTGAACAATACTTATACTTATACTAATACTGTTAAATTACCAGGCAGACTATGACGCAAATCAATGGCAGTGTAGAAATGATTCACGGTCTTAATAGCAGCATGAGGTCTGAGAGTCTGGGCCGGCCCTCTCTCTGGCCACATCATCATCATCATCATCATCCTCTGGTTCCTCTACAGCCCTCCTGGTATTTTTCACAATCCTACCAGACTTCTCCATCAACAGCAGAAATCGTTTTCCCGGAAAGCTGGTGGTACCAGCTGCATCACTGCAGGGTCAGAGGAAGGTAGCTGGATGGAGGCCAGGCAGTGAGTGATGGGTCTGATGAACCTGATATTCAGCCAGGGTGAGAGGAGAGAGTCCGTCTTAAACATGCCTGAAGGTCCAGCGCGTTAAGCCTGAAATAAAATCATACGGCACATTTCAGTTCTGAGTGTGACAGGATCTTTGTTGTCATTTTGTTTTTGTCTCTAGCATTTGAATCGGTGCTTACATCCCGTATAGACATTTTAGTGCTGTGCCAGCCCACACAGACATAATGCCAGGCAACACATGACCACCAGCAGTGAAACAGCAAGTGATGCTTGGTTGTTCTCTACTCATCCCTGTAGTGCTGATTCGGGGGATTTATTGCTCCGTCTGTGTGTTTTCACAGGGCCTCCAGGAAAGCGTGGAAGGATGGGAAGAAGAGGGGAACCTGGTAAGTGACGCCCACCACCTGCTTTGTTTGTTTATTTCTCCTTACTCTCTTTTCCTGGAAGACACACTCTTTCTTCATCTCTTTCTGTCGCTCTCTCCTTCTTTTCCTGGGTGACTGGGTCGGTTCGAGGGCTGGTAAAAGCAGTGACCCATGAGTCAGGCCGGCAGATGATGGGCTGCAGTTGGCCCTTCTCCCTGTCCCTCCCTATTTGCGGCAGCATAGCGCTAACTTTGGCCATGTGGTTGCACTAACTTTGCCCAGATGTCAGTTGTTCTCACTGAGCAGTAGCAGCTGCAGTAGAGCGGGCCTAATGAGATTCTCCCTTGCCAACATCACTACCCACCATTATTGCGTTGCTTTTTCTTTCCATGCAGACCGCAACACACTCATCGAGAAACTAAAACAGTACAGAGACATAACTCTTGTTACACAAAAGGTCGTAATGACAAATAGAACGGATGTTCTACAAGCTTGAATCATCCTGATTTTAAATGGTTTTTATTAAGTGTGGATTCCAACAAATCGTGGCACAATAATTTTAGAAGATTTTATCAAAACCTGTGGGACTGTAGTTTCTCTGAAGGATATGTGTCAGATGGGAAAATTTCCAGTCTGGTTGTGATTCATTGTTGTGGAGATTAATTAGATGTGATCTGCTCCTGTGAAAATGTTGACTAAGTGGTAGATCACCAATAAACTTTATTGCTCTACTTAGCACAACAAGTCTTTCTGAAGTTATCATCCAGCTTCTTTCCAGCTTCCCCAGCCTGTTTGCCGCTCTCAGTCCCAATCCTATTTGTTCCTACTGAAGATGAAAATCTTCAAATACAGGTCACAAATATATGTTTCCATTTTTAAAAAGGCTCAGTAAGTTCCTAAACCAGCTGGACACTGTAGTTTTAAGCAAATGTTAAAAAGGCTGGAGTTAAAATTGTATTCGTCTGCAACTATTTTCAGTTGCAGATTTGGCGCACTAGTGAGTATTTATGGCAGCATGACAGTGTTTGTGGGATTGACCCAGTGTAACATTGTGGTTGACTGTTGTGTTTTTAATAGTTTTTGGACAACAATGGTGGATGGTTTCAGATTTTTCATGGGTTTTCTTGACAATAAGAAAACTATAGCAACGAGTGTCACCACACTTTGCTTTTAAATCCCCATATTTTATCCAACTACCTCTTAAACAGCATAGATTATTAAAAGCCCCTTTGAGTTCTGCGATTCCATCAGGCGATCATCAGGACAGCTAAATGTTTTTCCTCTTGGTGTTTAGCAGGGGGAATTCTCATTCAGGGAAAGCTGGCTGTTTAGGTTATAGCCGAGATTGGAGACTCGTCGGCAGGAGGGTAGGAGGGTCTGTATTGATGTGGTTCTGTTTAGGTTCTCTCTCTCTTGTTGTTTAGTTTTGCATCTTCACATTGCAGCACCCGGGGTTATAGTTGCGGAGGTAGGTGGCATGTACAGGCGGTTGCGCCATCCTCGAGCTAGTCGATGACCCTGGGACAACTTTTTACAAGACCAGAAGAGATTTTCCCCGTTCCTTCAGAAAAACAAATGAGAGTGTAGAGGAGAAACAGAAACACAAACCTGAATAACAGGAAAGAGGGCAGACAGAGTATTTAAGCATCTTAAAATCAGCTGTCACCCTGTCTCCTTCATCAACTCTCTTTTTTTTCTGTTTGCTCTTTAACTTGCTTTCCTTTTCTCTTCTGTTGGCTTCTATCTTTCTCTCTCATTCCCTCTGTCTCTTTCTTTCTCATTGGTCTCCACACACACCTGTCTCAAGTTCAATGGCTAAAGCTGGTCTTACTGCCAGTTTGTGTGTGTTTGCCTAACTGTCTGGCCCAGGAGGTTCTCGTCTCAGCGTCTAGACACAGCGAAACGTGATTGACTTGGTCTTCATGCCTCATAAACCTCGGCACCTCTCTCCCTTCTTCTTTCCCTCACACCTCTTCTATCCAAGCACCTTCATTTTTTCATCCCTCTTTTGTCCCAAAAATGCCCTTTCCCTTGACTTTAACAGCAAACTTCAAGGCTCACGTAGACTGTGGTCACGTTAGCAGGACTTTTTGTGTGTTTGAATAGTAACATAACACCACAAATATCCCACAATACCCTAGAGGGAGTCTGTTTTCAATCTTGCTGAGTTTATGAATTTGTTTAGTGTTGCATCCATGCTGATGAGCTGTACGGTACCCGAACTACAGTGGTGGCGTCACGCCAAGTTGTGACGTAGATGTTAACAGTCGTATAAATCAGCATCATGATTGATTTGATCAGATAAATATAAACCAAATCACTAATATACATTTTTTTAATAGCAAAATGATATATTAACTTTGCAGGGTTTTCGGGTGGTTTATTAATGCCCTCAGCATTGCATATTTAAGAAAATGTTTTTTATAAGAATATTACATTAAAACCCAGACCACTAAGAATGAGAGGAGTCCTTTGATCATTACTGTTGTTTTTGCTTAGGCTAAGTATTAGAAGCAGAATGTACTCTTTGCTGCTGAGGCTCAACATCAGAGGATTTCAATCAGATCTGAAAGACTGCCTCAGAGAAATCTCTGAGACATCTTTTTGCCAACACGCCCCTGCCTTTTCACTCCCTGTCTGTCCTCGATCTAATACACCCGTATCTTCTTAGGAAACAAACTCTCGACATGACTTCATATCCTAATGCAAAACATGAGCCATTATCCAGAAGTCTGTTTATCATAACAGGTTCACCACAAGCTCCACTGGCAGCGGCTCTAATGAGCTTGTTCTGTACCATATTTAGGTGGTTAATTACAGTCATCATCTAACAAACCACATTGCATGTGCAATTTTTTTGTTGCATACCACTGTTGTGAGGAATTGATTGCTGTACAAACCAGAGGTTACCATAACTCATGCATGCTTTGCTTCATGTGTCAATAGAGATGTACAGAATTTATTTTCTAATGCCTGATTTCTCTCTTTCTGTTGCAGGACCTCCTGTAAGTACAATTTCATTTCATCCAGGTAGTATCAAAACCAACCAACACGTTAAAGGACACAAAACTGTTACAATCCTTTCCCATAACATTTAACATGCATACACACTCTAATGCACACATACGGTATACTGTATCGTCCCTCTCAGTGCACTGTACACTGCTCAACAAAGCACTGCTCCACCCAAAAACGATCTTTTCTCCCACAGCAGCAAAACACACAGACAAACAGACTGTCACAGACTCACACATGTGCATCCACAGAACACAGCAATAAATGGACCACCTAGGGAAGTGTGTATGTTTGTGCGTGCGTGCGTGTGTGCGTGCGTGCGTGTGTGTGTGTTTAGAGGTGATGCTTAAAGCTGCGAGTTATTCTCCTCAGTGGGACTATAACTCCTGCTGACACACACACACACACACACACACACATACACATTATGTGGAAACAGCTGTTGCCCTCAGGTTTGTGATTTTTTTTTTTTGTTTAAATTTGAATTGTTGTGATCTGCCTACAGAAGAGTAATTATTGATTTTATTTTAAATTTTAAAATTTTAAAAAATTTTCGGTCACATGTGGCACAGATCAGATACACAGAGGCGGAAGTGAAACACACCGGAAAGTTTTTACGCAAACATCCGAACAGAATGGTTGACCTTTTGAAAATGCAAGGAATGGTTTTATTGGAGAAAACTTGTCTGTACAGCTGGTTTACACTAAGTATGCATGAAACGATGTATAATTTCTTTTTCCTGAACACATCCAAAGTCCTGCCTACAGCCCGTAAAGTCGATGGGAAGGTGTGGTAATGCAGCAGTCAGCTGCTACTACACAAAGTAACGGTCAGTGCAGTTTGTCTGAGTCAAGGCAGGAAGTTGTCAAAAATAACCACAAAACAATGTAAATGGCAATTTCAAAATAAACACAATACAGATAAGACTCACTTTTGAAGATAAAACTTCAATCTTAACTGTCTAAAGTTCATTCGTCCCAACTCCAAACTCTTTAATTGGACCTAGAACAAACTTGTAAAATTATAGCTTTTGTAAAAAACTGAACCACCATCCTGTGACATCATTATAATCTCCCACACGGTGACCAGACAACTTGATGTTAATACAGCGTGTTGTGTGCATCTCTTGGTTTCTGTTCTAACCTGTCTCAATGCTTCATGCTTTAATCTCTAACCTCACCAGGGCAAGGCTGGACGGGATGGATACCCGGTAAATTTGATTTGTTATTTATCCTGTCACTCTTCGATTCACCCAATCATGCCTCTATTCTCTCTCCAGTTGTTGATTTATTCCACCTTTTCCTGATTTCTCTACTCCTTTTGAAGAAATTACCTTTAGTCCAATCGCTGCCTGCTCCCTTGCCTCTTCCTGTGATCTTCACCACTTGTATCCTGCCCCGTGACTGAGAAATGACTCAAACACAAAGACAGTTGTATTTAAAGACAAACAGACACGGAACGTCCAGAGTGGCAAGATGAGATGAAAGGGTTTTATTTCCCTTTGGCAGTTTGAAATATTACAACTTGCTGATTCAAGGCAGCAAATAGTGAAATAAAACATCTTTGGTGCACATAAGAAAATGAACAAAATATGAAAAGCAATAAACAGTCAGGCGCAACCCTGTTAAGATATCATCAGTAAACATAAACCACAGGAGTGTAAACCATAGCAGTGAAAATGTAAAACATTCATCCACAAGCCTTGAGCCTTTGAATGGGGTTTAATAGTTTGAATAATGTAACTGTGTACATCCATAACTACTGAATGCAAAGCACATCACTGATTTCCGTCAGTGAGCCAGTTCTTGTGTTATCCAGAGATATAGCGGCCTCTAGTGGCCACTTAGATTCCTGACTTCAAAACAAGACTAATGCTGATTTGTGGTTTAGCCGTCATCAAATTCACATCATCTAAAACAGATACACCCTCATCCTTCAAGAGTTCAGGCTGCATGGTGGCACAGATCACATGAAGCATTAGTGTGTGTGTGTGTGTGCGTGTCTCCTGTGAGACCCTCTGTCTGTCCCTGCTGTCTGGTTGCCATGACCACCTAAAGCAGTCGTCCGGTGTTGTGTTCCACAGCCTCTTGTTGGTTGTGTCGTTATGTGTATGTTTTCTCACTGGGAATTTTGGGAAGTTCATTCCCCATGGGGCTCTCTCCCAGTCAGATTCCCAGTCTGCCTGGCACTGCACAGCCCTCCTGACGGGAAATGCCTGCTGCTAATTACACACAGGTGGACCGAGCACACAGAGAAGTGTGTCTGCGTTTGTGCTTGTTTGCCTGTGACACCATTCATCTCTGTCACTGTCTTCTTTTTGAAATCTCACAGGCTTGGCATAGTGTGGCTAATGTTGTTGTTTTTAACTGCAAAACATCTGCTTAATAGAATGATGTAATTTACATCTTTCTAACTATATGATCTGGATAATCCTTCCCAGCCTAGTTAGCATAATGAAATCAATCTTGTAGCTCTATATTTACATAGATGAAACAATACTGGAGCTGGAGGACCTCTGTTTTGTAAGTGTAAGAGGCAGCTTCCTGTTATGATGCGTATGTACGGGTATGATGATTTAGGAAGCTGTGTGTATGAAGTTACTGTGAAACAACAGTAGATTAATCATACTGACAATTTACATAGACAGCACATTGTTTCATTTACCAGCAACAAAGTTGATCAACTTTCCAACATTGGAGCTAAAAAAAAGGGAGGGGGGGGTGGGGGGGGTTCTTCCTGTTGGGTAGCAGTGTTTGTGTATCTGTGTCCATATGTGCAGATGTGTGTGAACTCCTTCCAACCGCCCATAGTGTATGTGCATCTCTGTAACAAAGGCCAGAGCTGTGGAAGTGGTCAGAGGTGTGTGTGTGTGTGTGTGTGTGTGTGTGTGTGTGTGTGTGTGTGTGTGTGTGAGTGTGTGATACGTTTTCACAACAGTAACTTCTCTCACATGGATGGCTCATATGGAGAGGGCATGTGCACATCAACACAAATGAGTCAAGTCAGCTTCCGGAGAGCACTGCGGTGCAAACTGTGTTGTGCCCCTGACTTGTGCCAACAAGATTTCTGTCTTTATTTTTCCATTGTTAAAACAAACAGCTAGGTTTCTTTCCAGCACTTTGTTTTTCCTGCCCTCTCTCACCCTTATTATGTCTCATTGACTTAAATAGAATTCAAGCCTTTAACCCTCAACAGGCACGAGTCTTAATTCTGTAACTGGACACATAAACACATAATTCAACAGTGTGAACAAATACGAACAAGTATGCCAGTGTGTTAGGCACACATGTCTCACAGACATTAAGTTCATCAGACTAATACATGCAGCAGCCCACTTCCACCGAATCATCAGTAATATGGTAAACAGTGTTAATGACGTGGTTTATGTGCATCTCAAGCATAACACTGTGATAAGTGTGTGTGTGTGTGTGTGTGTGTGTGTGTGTGTGTGTGTGTGTGTGTGTGTGTGTGTTTGTGTGTGCTGATGTGTGTTTTCTCTCCTCATGTAACCCCTGTCACTTCTTCCTCTCATAAATCACGGGCAAGGGGTTTCGGTTTCAGAAAGGAGCCTTCCCGCTGTCAAACAATCAGAGTCAGGCAGACTGACAGAACAGTGCGGAGGAGTAAACACACGCCCACACACACCAGTTGGTTCTCCTTCATATGCACAGTCCCCAGCGTGCCCAGCCACTAGCGTGTTTATACGCTAATGCCAGTCTGTGACAGACAGCGGACCTCGCTCGGCAGACACAGGCCAAGGCCTCCATTGTTCAGCCTTCCAGGCTGCTGAGCACAAGATTAAAACCAGACAGTCACCCAAAAACATGTCAGTAATTTTCTGTCCCAAATCACACAGCACTCTGGTATGCTTTATTCTGCTCTTTGGTTCTGGATGCAGCCACTATGCTTTTTTTTTTTTCTCAAAGCAGCAAATGCCATGTATCACAAATTGTGCTCATGCATCCCAGACATGGAGTAGAGTTTTGTCCCTGTGGCAACATGAAAGAAGAACCTAAAGATATTCACTGCAAGAGAGGAAATGATGATATCAAAAAGATGCGAGAGAAGGAAGGAAAGTAGAAGCAGGAGAAAGGAAAGGTCTCAAAAGAGCATCCACTCTGTCCATGGTCCTCTGTTTTGACGTTACATAATTACACTCATTGAGCCTAATGTGTGCGACACATTACCATGTGTTTCTAGCTGAGATGTCTGCCTTGATGTGCAGACACCAACTGTTCACGCCGCATCCTCAACAATTACGCCCTGCAGGATAATTACCAGTTGGCACCATAGGGAGTACAATAAAGACAGTAAAGACGCCCCTTACCCTGTTTCATTGAGATTAAGAGACACACACATACGCATGTGTCAGCATGCACATACACACATATGCAAACACAGACAGAGACATACGCCCTCCTGCAGGCCAAGTTATTTTCCAGAAATGTGTTTAAAAGCCATCTAATTGGTGGGAATGCTGAGTAGAGTCTTTCTTTTTTATTTTTATCTGCTGAGGGACGCTCAGGACGAGATGGCTTTGCAGAGTAGAAATACGCACAAAGACCCACACACACACCCACACACACACACACACACACATAAAAAGGCATTATTTCATTTTCCGCCACATTCACTTGAGGTTTCGGTGGTAATCTCAGGACTATTTCCTCACTTTTTCTCAACATTAAACTTACTGTCTCTCTATCCTCCTTCCTTCCTTATATTCTGCGGCCTGATCCATTTGTGGTGTGAGATGAAGAGATTTTAGCAGTGGCTCTTTTTCTTTTTCTTTTTTTTTTTTTATTTGCATTCCAACTCTTTTTCTCGTTTCTTCTTTTCCTGTAGTCTGTCTTGTACTTTAGGTTTGTACCACAGAAAAACCAATATAACAATGTGGCTATAGGCTACAGAAAGTAAAGCACAGAATATACTGAGGGCCACCCATCAATATCCAACCCACTTGGCTTCAGTGTCTCATATATTGTTATTCATATAAACCCTATTGGCCAATTTTCCTCTTGGCCTCCATCACAAGTTCCCTGTGACCTCTGTTGCTGATTTAAGTAAGGCTCGTATATTTTAAAGTGTTATTATCAGTCATAAAAGAGCTTCCTGGACTGCCATATTGTCATTTGAATTATTGCTCTAGGTAGCCATAGTAATTCTTTGTTGTATTTTATTCCGTATTGGATACCAGTAAGTAAGTAAGTAAGTAAGGTCATAGAAGTAATATATTATATGTAAACTGTTATATGCTGCCAGATATTAGATTCAGGGTTTTATTGTTGAGAATAAACCTGCTCTCACAGACAGACACAAAGAAATGTAGAACATTCATACGCATCCTCACAAAGGAAGACACACACACACACACACACACACAGTTCACAGGCCACTGTGCGGCTTGTTAGCAGTTATAAATCAGTCTTTTTTGCTCCAGTTCAGAGTCTGCAGCCGATGACCTCACCATGTACACCTCGTATACTCATCCTGACGAGTCTTGAAGGAGCCGAGCTCTGATAAACGCTCCCAGATGCAGAGATATCACCCCACTCGTATACACACACACACACACACACAAACACACACACACACACATACAGTATACCTGTATCCAGAGACATGAATACAGCAGGGAAAATTCACTGGAACATTTAGAGGCTTATTCTCCCTCTTGCATGTATGACACGATAAACACAGTGTGCTGCGTTTAACAGAGCAATGAAACTACGACCTATCTACTACTGTATGTAGCCTCCAGTGAAATAAATTCAGAGAATTAGATCCTTGCTCTTCACACTCCTCAACTTTAGATAGTTGGGGTTAAATTATTGCCATCCAATTGGTCCCAGTCATTTGTTCCACCCGACTCTCAGCCACCTACTGCTGATTTCACAAGAGGCCCTTAATCAAAAACTCATCAGGAGCCTCAAAGGCTTTTCTCTGTATTTTTAGAAATCTCTTTTATACAGACTGACCACTTAAACTTTCATCAAAAAACGTAAGTTTTTGATGAAAGTTTATAGCCACGCCGGCCCATTACAAGCTAAAGAGGGGCAGTAAATGATCACATGAACTATTAATGAAAGCAGCTCCACATGTCACTCCCTCTCTTCTTTCTCTCATCTTCCTTTCATCCTCATGTGCCTACTGTCCATCCGTCAGAGAAGGCAGTGATGACACTGTGGTAGGTTTTCACTACAGGATCACGTCAGATAGCACCCATGGGTCTGGTAAAGCAGGGAGATGAAGAGAAAAGCCTAATTTATGTAAGAAATCCAAGGCCAGAGATGACGACTGCTAATGATGGTTTACAGGCTGCAGAGCTGTGAAGGACTGAGCAACCCATGACTCAAGGGACCCTGTGAAAACTGTTAGTGTAACATCAAGTATGGTCGTTAAGGAGGAAGTCAATATTAGTCTTTACCACATACATCACATTTAAGTGTTTCTGGAAAGTTTGATCCGAGAGCCAACTGGTCCTTTACGTTTAAGGAGGGATCTAAAGGTTCGTGCCTTTGAACCTTTGAGTGTTGCTTTGCAGAGGAGGTTCAATGACTGCTCGACTGTTTTTACTGAGCTAAACAAAGTGGACCACTTGAACTGCTGTTTCAGCACTTGGGTGAGGTTGGATAGGGACGTTTAACATACTTCACCGCATGTTGGATTATCTCATCACCACAAAGATTGTGTGGCAGATTAATACAGCCGGACCAAATCCACCCGCAGACTATCATGTTGGACACCACACTCTAAATCTCAGAATAATTATAAACCACAACCACCTGGAAACATCTCAGTGTCTGAACCCAATGTATACATACACACATACACACACACACACACACACACACACACACACACACACACAGTTAACTGGGGCAGGATATACATAGAACAACTTTCTTTCTTTTTCTACTTTTTATCCTCAACTTCCCAATAACTGCAGCTGTGTCTTCTCTGGTGTTTACAAGCAAGACTTTTACTGTCCTCTCTTGGTAGATTTGTTTTTCCAAATCCACTCAACCTCAGATCATTTACATTTTCTCCTGAGAGATAATGAAACAAGACTCAAATATTATGAGTTCCTAATAAATAACAGCTGCTTTATAATACTTTGGAATATTTAGAACAGTGTCTTCACGGTGTCTTAATCATTTTCTTTATTCACAACAGACATACAGTGGATAATTGTGAAGCCTGTCATTACAGGGAAATTTTTGGAAACGCACATACCGTACTGACTTTCTTGCTGAGAGTTAGATGAGAGGAGTGATACCACACAGAGAAATGAGAGTGGTAATTAGTCTACTCATCTATCACTTGGCAAGAAAGTGAATACGCATATTTCCCAAAATGGCAAACTCTTCATTTGATGGTTTTGTGTCGACATGGCTCGTGTAACTTTGTACTTTATCTTTTTTATAATTTCTCTTTATCCGCCTTCAAACAGGGTCCACTTGGCTTGGATGGCAAACCTGTGAGTATTCTCAAACACATTTTTGTAACACATGCTTTAAGTGACTGACTTCAGTTTAATTTTACTTCTGTTTTGTTTCCTCTCAGGGTTTACCAGGTCTGAAAGGAAGCCAGGTACACCAGCACACACCTGTTGTCTTGTTCTGGTTTTCTAATAACACATATCTATTACACTGAAATCATTCATACCCACATATTGTCTATCTGTGAATCCAGGGGTGTATTCAGCCTGTAAGACAGGTGATGGTTTGCTATACCTCATCAATCATTTTTACTGTTCCTACGGGACCATTGCAAAGTGAGTAAAACGCCCACGGTAGCCATCTTGTTTCTTGTTCCACCTCTTAAGTCATCCCAGAGCTCAAGGCCACGGGGGAGTCATGGCTCAACTGAACCGAGTGCTGAAATCCCCTTCGCACTTCACCTCTGAGTCCCATCCATCAACTTTCCCCAGCAGCCCCGCCGCACTCCCAGACACACCCAGGTGTAGCGTGGAAACGGGCGATGCAGAGCGAATGGGTTACACACCAGTGAGAATAGAGTTTATAACCTTCAACAGAGGCTCTTTAAAAAGTCATTATAGCACCATTCACCCCTCCTTCAGCCCTTCTCGCTGGTTGCTTTCCCTGATGAGAGGGCAACTAGTCATCTGCTGAAACGTAAACCCCTCACAGCATAATGAGAGCTATTTGAATAGCTCCTCTCCACACACCATTAGGCTGTTGGTTCCTGCTAAAGGAGACCTCAAGCTGGGTCTGTCCTTTAAGAGGACTCTGCCCATCACAAAGGGTCTGCAGTAAAAACCACAGCAGGTGTGACACAGACCTCATGACCAGAGGCGTCTAAGTACTCAAGGGATGTAGGGGGAGATAATAACAGGAGAAGTAAAGTGGTTAAAGAAATAAGACTGATTTGTTGATAGAAAAAATAAAAAACAAGTTTGAAGGAACGCAGAAGTTCAACCACAACCAAACATATTTCAGCTGAAAGTAAACCTGATGTGGACTTCAAAAAGCAAAAATAAATGTTTATAAGTACTGTAAAGAAAAAAATTATGAAGAAGACTTTGAAAATCACCCAGAAAACAACTTGATACCAAGAGACGTTAATATGACACTGAACTATTAATAGAAACCAAATACTTAAAAAAAATCCACCATGACAACCGGACACCTACAAGAGTAGTAGTCACTTAAATTAAACCTTCCTCCTCCTCCAGTTCTCCTCTCCCTGACAAGCTGCTGCCTGTCATCATGTGGCCGCTCACATTAACAAACTGCTTAACCTCTCCACTACACTCCCTCTTCAGCATCGTACTCCTGAACACAGTTGTTGGGCAGAGGAGATGTGAGGTGAGGGGCAATGAAATAGAGAGGTTGGGCTTCAAGGCAGATAGAGAAAGGTGAACTGAATGAAAGCAGGAGGAGGGAACAAGTGTGCGAAATATGGAGAAAGAGTGGGCAGTTTGGAGAATACAGACACAAAGAAGTTTAACATAAAGGGTCGCTGGGCTGTAAGAGGTAAGATCTGCCCACTGTTGTCAGTTTTAGAGAGTCTGTGGCTGAGATCAGAGACGGCTGGTGGCAGGTCTCCACATAGTCCTCTCTTTCTGTCTCTCCGTCACAGTCACAGAGTGCCTGTAGCCAGTCTGCGGTTTGTGGTGCCGCCACATTTGGCGTCCTTTTGCCACTTGTCAGCAGTGGACAGACTGAGACGGGCGGGCGCTGAGATGGACGAGGGCACAGCAAAGCCAAACTGGCATGGATTAGCTCATCTGTGGGCCTGGTGTTCATAGGACGATGTCTAACCGTCCAACACAAAATGTGACTGTGTGGCAGTGTCTCACACACAGTATAAGTGAGTGCGCAGGCCTGTTTTGAGGCCCCCGTGTTTTTAGTTAGTGTTTCTAGCATTCCTCTTCCAAAACATCTTAAGAGATCCCCTCTGAGAGACAGACTGGTGGAGGAACAAAGGAACATTTTGTGCTTTCAGTTTTATCTCTTTCTGCAAAATAGTTTTTTATCTCTCAAAGTGAAATCTTGAAAGGGATTCCCACTGAAAGCTCAAGTTATACAGTCTTTTTGTGAAACATGCTCAGGCAAAACTAACTTGTGATTGAGCAGTCCCAATGGCACGACTGCATTAAGTGGTATTACTGCCTTTCTTTACTGTTTGATCGAATTCTCCCTGCTCGAGGCCGGCAGAAGATGTATTGCACTGCGATGTATGTTGCTCATATGATAACTGATTTATTTTGACCAACTGTCTCTGATTATCTCCATCCCTCCTACAGGGACCAGTTGGACCCAAGGGAGAAAAGGTATGCATACATCAATATGGATTTCAGCAGCACTGCTAGACAAGTCAATGCTCTGTATGGATGTATTTTTTATAGTCAGAGAGATTCAAAAAGACACAAATGCAAGCACACACACACAGAACCTCACAGGTGTTCTCTCCATCGCCCCCCCCCCCACGTCCACGTTTTCACTGCACGCCCATCAAACGAGCCATAGATTACATGTAGTTATGTAGGAGCTCATATGTCTCCGCACATTCTCACGTCAAGGCACTAAACAGGTTTACAGGCCTTCCGCAGACCTCGATGATAGCCAGATGTTTTCCCGCTCTGTGAACCTCCGCCCAGCCTAAGATGTTAGCGACCGAAAGAGCTGCAAGAGCTGGCAGAGGAGACGTGTGCATGTGGTCATTTGTGTACACACTGATGAGTAACTGTGTGTGTGTGTGTGTGTGTGTGTGTGTGTGTGTGTGTGTGTGTGTGTGTGTGTGTGTGTGTGTGTGTGCGCGCGCGCACGCCCGTATTTGCACTCAAGCGAAAATTGTCCAGATAAGCAGAGCCACAAGAACAACACAACTGCAGTAAACAGCATCTGTCAGAGCAGGACTCAGTCTGATGAGCAGGAATTGCAAATGGCTGATGATGCTGAGGTTTGGAAAATTGGCTCCTTTCATGTAATCATGCTAGTAGCGCTGTGATGAGAACTTGAACTCCAAATCCTCATCAGAGAACCAACAATCCTCAGCACGCGCGCTCCCACTTTCACTTAACCACTCTTATCCAGTCAGACGATTCCAATTGTGGCCTATCAAATGATTTATACTGTAAATGTCGACATCCTGAGCTGATTTGGGAACAGATGACCTTTGAGTCACTTCCCTCCCATACAGTATTAGTTTTCAAGCCTGTATGTCACAGCTGCTCTACAGTAGCAGTATTCTATTACATGACTGCTCCTGTGTGCATATACAGTCCTAATAACTGCTGACAATTGTTATTTTCCTGTTTTTCTCCCAGGGTGACCAAGGAGACATTGGGCCACGGGTAAGCCATGTTTTCTGTCTTTGCCTGAGGAGGATGAATGAGATGTTTTGACTGTTATATATGCATTTTAAAAGCTACTTTTTCACTACAGCTGACCTGGCTGAAAAGGCTTCAATTTAAACCTTTCTTCCAGTTTTTGTCCTCTTTCTCTTGTTTTGTCTTTGTCTATCAGTCTCTTTTTTAAATTTTCACACTTTCTTGAGGTCAAGAGACACTGCCTTTTACGTTCAGTCATGGCAAGAACTGTTTATTTTTTTCAATATGAAAAAATAATTTTTCTATTGTACATTTGCTATTGCTACATAGACAATGTCAGCATCAACAGCTGCTTATGTACCAGAGCTTCAGGTATCTTTGCATTTTCAAGACGAGAGGTTATAATACACTCTCTGAGAAGTGTGACTTCTTCAGGGCAGACTGGATAGTGACTTGGTATCAGAAGTGACGAGACGGTCCGGCAATACTGGTGTTAACTGGTTATCATGCTAACTTCAGTAAAGAAAGAAATGATAGAAGCGGAAGCGGATGCAAAACAAACGTCAACATTGTCAGCATTTCTTTCCACTGCTGGAGACAGCTCTTGGTGAGAAAAGGAATAAAGTTTGATGCTGAACTCATCACATTTCTTCTAGACTGCACCTGAATTGAAAAGTGTCCTAGGACAGCCAGAGGAAACCCACGCCAACACAGGGAGCTTATGCCAATTTCACAGAGAAAGGAAACAGGCTGAGATTGAAATCCAGCCCAGACAAAGTAACAGACCATCACAAATTGGAAATCAATGTCCAGGAAGACAGAAATTTCCATTCTCTGGAGTTTTCATAACATCTGAAAACTACTCATCCTTTCCTTGTTATCACACTGGAGGAACAATGTGGACATGCAGGGAGAAAAACATGTGCAAAATCACAGATCACAAGTTTTGGTCAGTGGACTTGAGGCAAGCCTTTTCATAATTCACAGGAAAAGTGTGTTTACCCTGTGTGGCTTCCCCAGCAACTGCACCAACGACACAGCCCTGCTCCTATGATGAGGTCTTGAGTTGCCCACATCTCCAAAACCAGAGATGAGAAATGATGATATTAAAGAACGATGGAAATACTTAAACCTCACCATCAAAACCCAATGGTTGGGACAGTGCCAAAACTGCCATCTCGTCTCAACCAAACTATGTTTTTTTTAACATTATAGGGTAACCTCACTGTGCATCTGGTCCATGTTGTCAGTGTTGTCTTTTCATGTGATATCATTCCAGCCACCATGCGACCTATGTAATTATCTCCCGCTTCATTCACTGTGGTTCGAAAATAAGCCCCCTGTGCTTTACATGGTGAACGGATTGGATTCTTTGAAGAAGTCATGTACCCCATGAATCCTATATGTTTTTCTAGTTTTATTATGTTTACACTATAACATCAGGTCAAGGTCACACGTCTTCACATGCAAATAAAAGTGGGGAGGAACTACTGAGGTGATCTATGCATTGTTTAGGGTTTTAACCCAAAGATCTAAAGCCCTGTTATTGTCATGTCATGGCAAACTGTTGAAACATTAAAGCAGAGCTGAAAGGATGAATCAATTAAATATAAAAGAATAAGTCAGTGTATAATAAACCATTTGACAGTTAATTAGATTTTATAGACCAAACCATTAATCAGCTAAGTAAGAATAGGTGAGGTAATTAAGCTAAGTAAGAATAAAGATTAATCAATCAAGTCATTCAATAAATAACATAATTTTGTATACCTACATGAAACACTGTAAACTCATCATACATATAGAAAGCAAGGCCTTAACAAAATATGGTCCAATTTATGCTAATTGCATTTTTTTCCCCAAAATGTACTTTTGCTTGACGATGGATTTGCATTTAACTATCTATTTAAAAATATATTTAGCTACATTTTTCTTATATATTTTTTGACCCAGAAACAAAGTAAGGTTTCTGGCACGACTTCACCTACTTCCAAGGTGCATAGAGAAAGGAAATTCCAAATAAGTCAAAACTCCAGCAACACTTGCAGTAAACAGAAGAACTATGTTAGACCAACAGTTTTCGGCTTGTGGCCCGGGTGACCCTGATGAAGGCCAAAAGCTGAAATACAGCAGTCTAATATTTTTTGGCCCAACAAAACTGGTCATCATTTGTTTCATAATCTTTCATTTCAACTGATGAAATTACTGATTTATAGTCACATAATGGTACTATGACTGTCTGTATTAGACAGTAAGTGTTAGCCAGTGATTTCCATATTGGCAGCGGCTTTTCACATGAGGTTCACAACTCTGACTGTGAAGCACTTTCAAAATACTAACACATAAAATATTTATAAAAACTGTGATTGTTCCTCTGGGCCTAAACTCCCATTGTAGTCATTTGCTACTTGTCTTTATTATTGTTAACATTCCTTCACAAGTGTCCCATCGAAACACAAGATTTTGAATAATAATTACAAATAGATGTGTTGTCATAAGTCTTCTGAGAGTTGGAGCCTGGAAATATTGGAATGACAGAGTGTGTGAGAGTATAGAAATGAAACTGAGTGGCTATTGTTTTACAGCAGAGCACAAATGGAGTGTAAATTTGTTAGGGCTGCCCAGCAGAACAATATTTATGGTGCGGTTCAGAAACATTACAGGAATTCCTGATTGCTATCAAGGCGTGAGCCAGTTGATTTCCATGCCTATCCTTCTAGATTTTGAAGTAATAGTTTGTGCAAGAATTAAATCTTCTTGGCATTCTGAATTACATAGTTCTTCCAAATGGTAAATATTGCACTTGGACGAGGCTTCGGCAGCTTTGATGTCTTTGGATTAGTCTGCAGCCCAAAAACCTCAGAGTATCGCTTAGAGACACAGATTTGGTTCAAAATAAACCTTGCAGCTCCTAAAACTACTGTAGTTGTGAATTACACCTGGCACTACGGTATATCTCATAGATATGGCTCGATAGAAAAAGTGTTGGTTTCTGAATGTGTTTGTAACAGCTATGAATCAAAGTACTACAGGTTCACTGAGGCCGAGCAGATGAAGGGTGGTGGTTGGAGGTATCTATCCAGTATATAAAATCAATCATCACTTTGCCTTGGTTTCAGCGTTGTATGCTGTTTCACCTCTGAACTTTACAAGAAGATAACACAATACACGTGAAAACAGGACGTGGCAATGAATCTCTGTCAACCTGTGACTTCCTGTCAATCCATCATTTTCAGTGGCTTTTGTCAGGCTAAATCTGGACCCAAGGCAGATTACAAACACAGGATAACGGGGGCATTAAAACACACTTATACAACCACCAAGAACATGTGACAAAAGGTCACGTGTAGTGTTGCATCTTTCTCCAAAGCAACTTTTATTGAAAGGCATGAAGCGGGTACCCATTTTTCCCAGCCTCCATACCGTCAAATCCATGCGGAGGAGAATGTCACTACATGTTTAGGTTCGCCTGGCAGCTGTGTTGAAAGACAAGTCATGATGGGAGTTTCATCCCCAGCCAAAGCCTCCTATTGCTTCCCCCAGGGCTGTACAAAAAGGCCATGGTTAGACAGGGCTCCGAGGTTGAATAGCTGTTTGACTTAGTATCAGCCTAAGTTCTGATGAGAACGAGGTAAAGGGGAAGCCCACTGTGAAACAGCCTATTCTCTTTTGAGATGTTTAAGGAGCATATGTGTATGTGGTTTCCATGGAGGGAATGGTGCAAATGAGTGAATGTGACAATGGGGAGAGAGGAGTGTATAGGCAAAGAGAGGAGGAGGAGGCATTTGCAGTGTTGGAAAAACCTCAGCTATCCGCCACTCACCGCAGCCTGTTAACGGAAACCTCATGAGCAGGCTAGCATCTCTCCTTCTGTCTCTCCCTACTGTCCTTCTGCTGCCCCCCTCCTATTTTAGATGTTCTCTCCATCCTTCCTTCCATGTGTTTTTGGAGAGAAGTCACCCAGAGAAGCAGCACAGTGCTCCGAGCTCTCTGGCGGCAGACAAACTCTGCTCCTTTCAGCTTGACAGACAATCATCACACTTACTGTCTGTCGGCTGGAAAGAGCCAAGCCACCTCTGTTTGGTTCAGTCGCAAAGTGTGGGATGAGGAGACATTAAATGGAACAAACGCATAGTTAAATACAGGTTTGAATGAGAGACAGGATTTTTTTTTTTTTGAAAGGACAAAGGGAAGTTACTGGGTCTCACTTTTAAGGTTTTTCAAAGCATATATCTCACTATATGCAGATGGGTTGTTTTTTTTTTCTACATTAAAATCCGCACAATTTGTAAAAGCCCTTTCTGACTATAAGCTATGGTATGCTAACTTGCTCACCTTTCCCTTTGTCACTCCTCTCTCCAGGGGCCTCCTAACTACAACACATTTGCAGGTCTGCACAGTAATCAGATTCTCACTGTCAAGGTTTGTCCTTCCCAGCAAACTGTTCCTTAGTCCTCTCAGCAGCCTCTGTCAGGCTGCTGATCTTTCACTATTCCTCCATTGAGCTGCTTTCCCCTTCGCCTTATAGCTTCAGAGGCTGCTGAACTCTCATCTATCTCATCTTTTCCGACGGTTGTTTCCCTCCCTTCTGGACTCGCTCAGTTTAAAGTGGATTTCTGATTTCCTTATCTTACCTTATCCTTTTCTCCTCTCCCTTTTATTTCCTCCTACTCCATGTGTATCTTTCTTTATTTCTCTTTCTGCTCTTTCCTTCTACTCCATCTTTCTTTTTGTCCTCGCTGTACCTCTTCCAACTCAGATGGTATTTCCCCGATATGACCATGGCTTTCTCTCTGGAGAGCAGTCCAGCAGCTTTCAGAGACGCTTTCTGAAGGTAGACCACAACTAAGGCATGTGTGCATTCTTAACACTTTAATCAACCTCTCTTACTCATGTTCTGATCAGCCATGCATCTCCCTCATTTCTCACTTTTTCACCTTTCTCAGTCAAGCTGCTTTTAATTGCTTTTATGTTTGATCATTTTTTTGTGATTATCCTTTGTGTTGGATTCTTTATTTGAATTAGACTAGACTAAAGAAAAGTGTGTTTCTCATCACAAGGAAAATAGAGGACTTTTGTTGGTGACAGTTAAGTTCGGGGTTGACCATAATAATACATATAATAATTATCTGTGTAAGGAAATTAGGTTTTTGTGTGCTATACAACCATGGTAATATCATTTTCATGAAAGGGCTTGCTGTACCATGTTGCTTGCCGCAACAAAACAAGCCCTAATGTACCACATGTCTGTAGAGATGAGAGGATGCGAAGAAGGTGTCATCATGTGACTACAGAGAAAACACTGGTCCTCCATCCACTTCAGTGATGAGCAAGACTTTGAGTGCATTAATGGTTTCTGTTTGGCTTAAAGATGAGAGCGAATCATCAGAATTAGATGTAAATCCAGTGATGAAAGGTTCTTTGATATGAGGTGACAGTTCAGTTGTTGTTGTTTTATGAAGCATTAAGCGAAAAGAAACATTTCAAGAGATGAGGTTGTTCTCAATGAGCATTTTTTCTTTTGTAAGAGTGTATTTGTCTGCATGGCTGTGTTTATGACTAAATCTGACTCACTGCTTCTGCTATTGGCCAGTTGCTCTTCCTGACATTCTCCCTGTGCTGTCACTTCATAAGTTCCCATCCATTAAGTGAACAGAGAAAAGTGGCAAATTGAGTTGATGGAATCAAAGTTTTTAGAAGTGAAGTCGACATTCTGTGGACTGTATAAGATATTTAAAGCTGCTATAATAAAGGTTTTTGCTTTTATTGTGGATAAATGACCATGTGATGAAATTCATAGTGATGTACCCAAAGGGAATTATCACCGACCCTGTGGCTCCTTTTAGTCCTCTAGCTTTTTTGCATCTTTCAGCTCATTGTTTTGGATTACCGGCCTGCAAAATTTACTGTTTTGGTTCATTCTCATTACTCTCATTAAGTCATTGTTGGCCACAGCTGTTTTCAGTGAAAAACTGATTTGAAAAAAAAACAGTACAAGCACATCACAAAACGGCAGAGGTTAGCAACTAGGCAACTAGCTGCTGAACAATTAGCTACTAGAGAGCAGAAATTTCCCTCAGAAGTTAGTGAATACCAAAAACAGAGTCAAAAGGAGAGTGAATATTGTACTATGGTGGACACAACCATGATTCCTTATCAGCTGGATGTGCAAATAGGCAACTGTTGGCTAACAAATTCGCCATAACAGCTTAAAAAGTGATAATATTTCAGTGTTTTCTTTACAGCTAGTTTCTGCTGCCCCCAAGTGGTCAAATAGTCAATTGCTGTAGGTTTAAGGATCATGTTTTGAATACTTGTTATATCTCAAAGTGAAGATATTATTAGCTAAAGAAGTTTAGGCCATTATTGACGATTCTCTTTAGTTTAACTGCAATCAACCTAAGATTTATTTTCACCCATTTCAAGATGGTAATAACTAATAAATGTAATTATCTTTTATAGCATTTCTTTTTTCTTTTTATTTCTTTTCCTCATTCTTCTGTTTTTCTTATTTTTCATAAGGGTGACCAGGGCCAGACTGGACCCGCTGGTCCTCCCGGTCCCCCAGGTCCTCCTGGTCCCAGAGGCCCCCCTGGGAACACGGGCAAGGATGGACCCCGTGGCCCTGCTGGAGAGCCAGTAAGAGTTTCTCCTCATGCATTAAAGTGTCAAATGTACACCCACTATACAAAACAATGCACTCACACACATCCACACACTTCGTCCAGTTGCTGTTATTCCCCTCCTCCTTCATCACTCACCCCATTTTCTTCACCCTTTAACTAAGGTTGCACCACAAAGAATGCAGTCACGTTAAACACCTCAGCCATCAGGGGCTGTGTTACTCCAATTGTGTTGACCTGGTAGGGTTCAACCGCAGGGTGTGACAAATCACAAATTGTGTTTCTGTGTGTGTATGCTGTGAATGAATGTGCATTTATAAATGTGTATTAAGGGGAAAAGGGTCTACACAGTGAATTGCAGTGAACCCATATTTTCATTCTTCCGGGTTTGCCAGTGAGCTGTGGCTTACCTAAAAACGCCCAGAATAGCAACTCTACTCCTGGCCTCATCTGTTTTGTGTAAGACAGTGGCCACAAAGTTCTCCAACACGCCCCCATTCTCCCACCCTCCCACCACGACTGTGTCGTCGTGCACCCCTGAAACAGATATGGCACTGTGGTGAGTTCATGGGCAGTTTGCCGACCTCACCAAACAATAGTTGTGCTCCCTGCCTGAGGCAGTTTATGTTTCTCAAAATTTACTTTGCTTCCCAGAGGTTAGTTCATATGCAATGGCAGCTTAAAGCTGTGGTTATAAGATGGAAGAGAGGGATGGAGACTATGAAGGTAATTTTTGTTTATCCAAGTGAAGGAATGAATGCTCAGTTACCCTCAACTGGCACAGGACAGCAAAGAGATTCAAGTGAAAAATGCTGGTTTCAGCGTGGGTGAGTTGAGAGCTTATGCAGAACCGACAAGAGAGAAAGCCAGCGTAGCTCAGAAAATGACTAAAAACAGGCGAGTTGCGAAGAGGGGGCCTAGGTAACCTAGTCGATTTCAAATGTACTCTCCAAGTTGATTAAAGGCATTGCAAAACCCAAAACAGCAAAACAAGGCAGAGTGGTGCTAAGAGCTGCTCCATGTTGTGGGCAGATGTCTGAATGTAGGAAAGGCTGAGCAGGAGAAAGTGAGCTAGCCTGCCAGCATGGGTGTTCTTGAACCCTTGGCGTTTATATCTGTGAAGTGGAAAGAAGAAAAAGAATGACAGTTTGTTTCTGTCTGATGTGTGGCCACATGAAACTGCTGTGGAGGATGTTTGGGTAAATACTAAATATTTGCTTTATTTCAACACATGTAAGTTCAGGAGAATATATCAAGTAAATCAAGCATTATTTTGAGTTGGAAATGTATCTGACATCTGAACACAGATGGGTGACAAATCAAAGAAAAAACTGTTCATGGGCTACTAGAATTCTTCAAGCCTGGAAATCTACTGGAGCGATGAACATCATTCTTCCTAACGATGTTTGGTGTTGAACCGTGCTTTTCAACTGATCACTCATAGTTGTTCCACTGGGTTGAGATGTGGTGAATGCAAAAGGCCATAGCATATGATTCCCATAATTTTCACACTCATCAAATCATTCAGTGAACCCTGGTTCCCTGTATAGAAACATCTGCATCCAGTTTCTCTACTCATTTATTTCAGGTTTTTCCTTTAATTTATCAACTGTTTGTATGCACTGTGGTCACTTGACGAATCCAAGTCCATGAACTGGTCGTTCCTTGTTGAACACTGACATCTGGTGGCCACAGCAGTTTAACTCTGGAAATTGACCTGTGGTTAAGGCCATAACTACGCTTCTCCTCTGTCCTCCTCAGGGTTTTCCAGGTCGTGATGGCGTTGTGGTGAGTGTAGTTTAAATCCAGTTTTTGAGGGGGGGTTTTTCTACATGTCAAGCTATTTATTTTTTGTCATGAACTATTATTATACTGTACATCTGTGGTGGTGACTTGTCTTTCTCTGGATAATCATGATAACCACATATATTTCTGCATCAGGGACAGCAGGGATTGCCTGGGAAGCCGGTAAGTTCATGTGTGGATAGTCAGTCTTGTTTCATCTTAATTTCAACTTTCTTGTCAAACTCTACTGTCTACTACAGAAGTAGCACATGACCAAAAGTTTGAACTTTTGTCAATTGTGAACTGACAGGGAGAAGATGGTGAGCCCGGCTATCCAGGGCCACAGGGTCCCCCAGGGGCAAAGGTACAGATAAGCTTTACTAATAAGTTAAAGGATCACGTCTCAGACACAGATTAGTTTAAATATACATGCATTGACCTTGAATGTTTATTGTGTATTGAAATAGGGCGAGCCAGGTACAGGAGAGAAGGGAGAGAGAGGCATGGATGGACTCCCAGGACTAAAGGTAAGAGACAAATCTGAATAATAACATCAATAATTTGTATTTTTCTTAGGAATAACATTATTTTTACACTATATCATAAATATTAAATGTCTGATGTCTGAAAAAATTGTATCATACATTTGCATAATTGCATAATACAGGGTGACAAAGGGGAAATAGGAGAACAAGGACCACAGGGCCCCATGGTATGTGTATTACCCAATGGGTTAGCCCTCTTTAACCATTCAGTTATCATATTGAACACATATATTATGATTGTGATGATGATGATTATTATTATTATTAAGTTGTGTATCTATACCTCATTCATTTTTTTTCTTCTCTGCCTCAGGGTTATACTGGTGAAAAAGGCACTGCAGGTTCCTCAGACATCATCGACTTCAATGGGAAGCTTCTAGATGCTTTCCAGGTGAGTAATATAAAGTGTTAATGAGACCAGACTTTATGGTTCCATGACTAAATTCCATTGGGTATTTATTTTAAGTAAGGAATCAGGCAAAAGTTAAGACCAAAAATGGCTGTGTAGTTAGATCACATCTGTATTTTTTTTTGCTTTTTCAAAACTGCAAAAACTGAACATGTTGCCATTTCTTCTCAACAGGCCATCAACACCATCAGTGTTTCGGTAATCTGTTGTTTCTGCATGGTTTTGGTGGTGTGATCAGTAACTAACACATACAATAATGCATAGAGTCACACAGAGTTGCATCTGCACACAACTCATGTATATCCATTCCTTATACCACCTGCTTCAGCCAGTGGACCTGTGTGTTTTTGTAGATGCCTTCTATCCAGAACTACAGACTTCAGATGTATTCGCTGTCACTCTAGAGGCCACATCTAAAGAGTATTACTCAATGTGCTAGTTACTAGTCTACCAAGCTCTCTTGTGTATTCATTTGGGATAAAACATACAGCCCCAGTAAATATAGTCCAGCTGTTCTGTTCTATCAGATAACATTAGCCTAAAGAAGCATGCTTAATCATGCAGAAAAATCAGCAGCCTTTGTTAAATTGTGGTGAGTGTTTTTTCATGGTATGCAACCAGTGTGCCTCACAAGATACGTGGCTATAACTTGCTAAAGGTCGGCATGGTGTATTTTGTCCGTGTATTTGTGCTGTTCCACACTTCTCAGTTGTTGCACAAGGGGAATTCACTGGAGGGGACTGAAGAGGAACCCCTCATAGTCGCCACAGTCTCAGTTTCACATCTCTGTGTTCATACACAGGACCCTTTGATTCTACCATGTACCGTGCTACATGGTAAAAATAGATGGCTATCTCTGCAGTGGAGTGTGTATTTGATTAAAAACCACTATGAACCACGTCCCCTGGGACCTGATCTGAAATAGGTTTCTGCATGCAACGCTGTAGACAGCAGCGTGAAATAGTTACAAAGGAGTCGGTGAAAACATGAACCTGAGATATTATCAGAAGCCTATTGCCAGTGTGGATCAGTTGGCACCAAATAACATACAAGGTACCCACTAGAGTTATATTCATGGAGTGGGAAATTCTCATTGGCCACCCAGCTTTTGTTATGAACCATTCACTTGTTTGTGTGAAAAGCTGTAATGGTCCCATCTGTGGTAAAATCTTAGGTGATGATGAATTTGGTTTAAAACCATGATGAAATTGGTTCTTTGTTACTATCATTAATTTTACGGCTTTGATGTAATTATTTGCATGAGTAGACCCTACTTTCTGATGATGGAATATCTCAGATCAAACGGTTGCTTGTAAACATCTGTTGATTTCCATGGCTTTAATGGAGAACAAACAAAAAGTTGGTAAAAGGACAGAATCAGCATGTACACCTCCGGGAGATAACATTGTTTCCTTTTTTATTACTTCAAGATGGCTGAGGACTTCAGAGGGAGAAGTAACAACTGTAATATTGTGCATGTAGAGATTAAGGAGCGGGATTTAAGGGACCTGTCACACATTAGACAGCATGAGATGAATATGGCATGCATGTGAAGCTATTCTTCATCCATTGTTAGTGTTACAAAAAGTTACATAAATGTTTTGTCTCTCCTCTTGTCCAACTCATCCTGCATCAAAACAATCAACAGAATGGAAAATGATGCCAGGCTATTGTGTAGCAAAAACCACAGTCAGTGCTGTTTTACAATCGCTGTTAGATAAAATTGCTTCAAGTTGGTTGCGATCAGCAAAATTGTTTACTGTCACGCCCACATTGTGAAATCCATCATCCTTGTAGTATTGTTTTGTGTTGGCCCCAGTTCAGGCCTTATGGTAAAATTCTGTGAGTTCCCATGTTTGTATCATTGTGATTAACAATGAAAGTAAACAGTTGCATACTGTGTATGCAATATGTCTATATGACTGTCCTGAAAATGACCTAATTAAAGTGGCTATAATCTGTATTTTTATATTATCAATGAATTACCTGAATACCTGTATGTGAAAGCTTGAAAGCTGTTGCTCAAAGTGATCAACCCACAGAGAACTATCACTAACTCTGCACACCCCCTCAGCTTTATGGAGCTTTATATCTGCTTTAAGGTCTTTGTTTTTGTTTTCCAGCCTGAAACTTTTTGAGTTCACTCTCACAGCTCTCATCAGCAGTGTTTTCGGACAAAATAGGCATCCATTTTAAGTACAAAAAGCTTTAAACACTCACTGTAGGCTACCTGCCCAGGTCCAAATGGCACACAAAGTTTAACACTTGCTGGTGAACATAGAAGCTTAAAGTATCATCTTAAAAGGTAATGACATGCTAGTGCTTGCCAGCTTGTTTCCACTGCCCCCTAATGGCCAAAAATCAGTTATTGCAGGTTTAAAGATTGATAGATTGTAGTTCTGTGTAAAAAGAGACACATTATAAAGTTTATCTGAATATATGTAAATTTCTGTCTTCTGTCTGTCTTTCTCCAGGGCCCCCCTGGACCACCAGGACCCCCAGGCCCTACAGGGGAAAAGGTAAGGCACTCTGAACTCACTTGTCATCCTACCAATGCACTGTACAGCCATTAACTAATAGTGTTGTCTGAAAACCAATGACACTAAACCCGATTTTGTGCAGTGTTATAGCCAACCATATTCATCACATGTGTGAACCTTTCCTCGCTTTGTCTTCCTCCAGGGTGAGCTTGGTTTACCTGGTCCAGCAGGAGTTGATGGGGAGAAGGTATGGTTACAAAGAAACAGAAATTACATGCAGGTTGATTAAATGCCTTGTACCAGCATTTTCATTTTTTTATGGCTAGATATGTTGGTTTGAGAACTTGGTGTCTTTTTTAATATGAGATTCATTCTTAATTCTTAACTTCCAGGGACCTAAAGGTGACCTTGGGGAGACTGGACCACCTGGCGAGAGAGGGGAGAAGGGAGAGATGGGCCTCTCTGGGCCTGCTGTAAGTAGTTACCGCAAAAATGTTTCTCTAATATGCAAACACTGACAAGTACATAAACAGCTGGAAGTTCATTTTTCTGTTCGTGGGTCAGGGTATGGATGGACAGAAAGGAGAGAAAGGCGACTGCAGACTGGATGACAACCTGGTGAGTGAAACACACACGCAAACACACCTAATCATAGATTTGTGTGGCCACTGGCAGTCATCAACTTAAAGGACTATGTCAGTGACTATGGAATACACAACTCAAGCAACCTTTTAGAGATCTGACACAGTGTGCTTTGGGAAATGGTCAGCAATCATATAAAGTAACATGATTTAGTTGACGAGCTTAACTTGCAAAAACACTGTTATGGTCCTTTAACCAGTGTATCATCTGTGGTCATCACCTAACTTAAACTTTGTTTTAATGTGTTTCCTGCTCCTGCTTGACTCTGATAATTTTATGATAATTTAATGGTTCCCAGGTTCAGATGATTTCTCAACCAGGCCCACCTGGTCCACCTGGCCCTCAAGGAGTTCCCGGGTCCCCTGGATCCATGGTGAGTACTACAAAATATCACTATCCCAGTCCTGGTGGAAACTAGTCAGATTAGTTATTTTCACCTGTAGCGGTCACACACTCACTGCACACAATGCTTTTCAGGGGCTGCATGGGATGCCTGGTCCTAAGGTAAGACTGCAAGACCATGTGTCTAGTAAAATCCATATGGCTATGGCATGTTGTTTGGTACTCAGCCTTCCTGTGTTCTAATGCAGGGGGAACCTGGAGCTGGGATGAAGGGAGAAAAGGGGGACATTGGAGCGACTGGAGCCAGAGTAAGTCACACTGGGCCTTTATTATCATACTGCAATACAACACAAGATATGCAATGTATAACAATGTACTTTAACTGCAGGGAGTAGATGGCCTCCAGGGTCTACCTGGATCTGCAGGGTTAGTCGGTCTTCCAGGTGCGAAGGGAGAAAAAGTAAGTACACAACCACCTTCATTAATGTGTTTAATAGATTTATTTTTTGATTGTGTGGGTCTTGAATAGAATTATGAGTTATTTGTGTGAATGTGTGTTTGTAGGGCCGACCAGGGGAGCCTGGACTAGATGTGAGTTTTCTCAATGAGAAGATCCTTTTCACTTCATTCATTCCATTTTATTTTTCATTTATAAACTTTATAAACTTTAACCTGTATGCAGTGATAAGCAACCCTCTGACCCATTTGTGCTTCCATTTCCAGGGTTTTCCGGGTCTGATGGGAGAGAAAGGCGACCGAGGGGAAAGAGGCGAGAAGGTTGGTACATATTACAGAAATAAATTATATATTATCCTTATTAAAACACAAACAATTACATATTTTGTTCCTCTAGTTTATTGCAACACGATTTACTGTATCGTGCATAATGATGCATGGCTGATCTGTCTAGACATGTAGGAATTCTGCCACTTTAAATGCCTAAACAGGCTGTATCTGCAGTTAACTGTGTTGTGTGATATCTTTTTGTGTGTCTGTGTCTGTGTCTGTCTAACTGCTGTCTTCCTCATGTCCAGGGTGACAGGGGAGCAGTGGGAAAGAGAGGTCTAAAGGGCCAGAAGGGAGAGCAGGGTCCTCCAGGTTTGGACCAGCCTTGTCCTGTGGTATGTTGCACACACACACACACACACACACACACACACACACACACACAGATACATGTTACAATACTACAAATTTAAATTGATTAACTTATTCCCACTTTCCTCTCACCTTTTACACGTTCAGTATTTCCTTGCCTTCCGCTCTCAGAACTGTTTCTGTCATTTTCCATGCTTTTCTCTGAGTTTCTTCCTCATTGCTGTGAATGTGTAACTGGCTCTTGCTGACAGGGTTGTGATGAGACTAAAGGTCTGTCTGCGGAGTCAGGGCTTTCTTCCCCTCCAGCTCCTCCTCTTCATCCTTCCGGCCCTGAGGCCCCCTGTCCTGTGGTACAGTATCTCTGCCTCCTTTCTCATTTCTGGTCGCTATTTATTCACCTACTGCTATTTTCCCATCAACCGCTTTTGTTTCCTTTTTTTCGTTTCTCTCAAACTCTGTTATGCATGTGCTGTCAGTCACCATGATGTATTCACTTCACTATTCACTGCAAAGACATTCACAGATGATAAACAGTATGTTTTGGCCTTTTGACCATTTCTGTATTCTCTTTTGCTTGAATTTGTATTATTTAGTGTTCAGTCTCTGACTTTGTTTTAATTCATAACAGCAGTTCACTTATAAGGAGCGCAGTTGTTGCTGATATTTAAATCAGCAGCCTGCAGAACTATACAGTGTGTTTAAGCATGCATCACTTGACATTTTCTGGCTTTTTAACTTTCCACTGCTGTTCTCTCTCTGCAGGGACAGGATGGCCTGCCCATACCAGGCTGCTGGCACAAGGTGAGAGTTAAGAGTTGTACTGCATTTTTTTTAAAAAGGTATAGTGTGAACTAATGAAGTTACTAGCTTCTGATTAAGAGACAGCAGCAGGCAGAGTTAGAGAACAGCAAACAGTCAGATCATACACTGAGATTATTACTCATGGATTGGCAGCATTAAATTCATTGCTTGACTCTGATTTGACACAGGGGCATTTTGTAAGTATATTGCAGTGTGTGAGCTTGTAATTGTGAAGTGTGAGTCTCTGAAGGCAGCAACATTTTTTTTTTGCTAAATGTAATACAGAAGTCTTATGGTTGGGTTTTGGTTTGATATACTACTAATAATCAATTCTTGCTATTCCTCTTTTGCAGTGATGACTAACCAGCAGCATGGAATCTGTACATATTGATCTGGTATATATTGCAACTGAATACTACAACAAACAACCCACTCCCTTTTTTCCCTTTTTTATCAAAACGTTTATATAATATATTGAGATTTTTTAACAAGGACATTTTTGAGTCTACAGTATTATGAAAACTTTTTAAAACTAGAGATCCAGTGTTGTTAAGAATGCAGATGGCTTTTGAAGGCAAGAAACTGAACTGGCAGTGGGACTCTTACTTTGAAGGACAGTCCAGATGACAGTGTTGAAGTGGAGGATTGCCTTACTAACAAAGTCTGACTTGCTGCCTGATTGTATGAACGCTGTTTGAGAATGACAGTGTGTGCACTCACCTGGTCTCACGGATGCTGAGATTGGATGGATGGACAGACCTCTTGGCAGATGGAGGAGTGTGGGTCAGTGCTCTCTTCTCCTCTTTGTGTTTTCTGAAAGGAGGAGATGGCGAGGCAGAAGCTCAAGCGCAAGCGTCTCTCTCAGCCCTGAAGGGATGCGGGGCCTGGTGGAGAAAGGACACACTGACAGGCAGAGAGCGTGAGGGGCAGATTGGCCTTTATGAAGCAGAGAGAGCCATGTAATGCCTCAGTGTCATACTGAACACTCAGATCCTCTGTTATGGAAACTCTCCAGGAGGGGGCGACAGAGAACACTGCTTTTCCACATTCACCTGGAAAGAGAAGACACATGTGGCTGATGATGTGGAGCAATAGCTTGATAACCAGTTGAAGTCGTTTGGGAGGCAATGATGTCACTGGCACATAAGGAAGGATTTACTGCACAGATACATTGAACATGTTTTGGTGATCTCTTGTATGGCTCTTTAGCAAAGGTTTTCACTAATTCAATGCATGATCATAACAAGGCACAGTGTTGTTTAGCATCCTGCCAGCTTGTATGACTTGTGGTCCCTCATTGAAACAACAAATGACAGTAAATTCATTTTCATTTTCAATAAGCAGTCTTTAATAGTCTTTCCATTTGAGCAAGCCACTCAGAAAAGTCAGTAAGTCAACCTTTTTTTTTTTTTTTAAGGCTTACACTTCCAGCAGTGGTGACTTGTGTGTTGTTTATTTTTATTCCGTAATATACTTATCTTATTTTGTCCAGTTACATTTTGCATTCCTGTGCATCGACATGTTTGTGAAATATATAGATAGTGAAACTTCAAGACCAGACTTGAAGGAACCATTCACAGTATTCATGTTCAATCAGTGTTTCCGTGTTTCAACCAGGGAGCAAGTCAGCTCCAACATTAGACTGGTTCTGTTTTAGTTGCCTTAACAAATGATTGTCAATCAAATTCTTTTCTTAATAGTTTTCAATGTGACTGATAATTATCTTTTAATCACAGATGAAGACATGTTTAATTACTGTTGCCATTTTTACTGTTGTAAGTTCTTGCTGCTGACTTGTGTGTTTTGTTTGTTTGATATTTTTTGAACCAATATTAGTCATTTGGACTGAAGGACTAACAGACTAAAGTATGAGAATTGAAACAAATGTCATTGATTTTTTTTTTAATTTTATTTTGGTAATTATTCATTTTAATTCAGCAATACATCTTAGTACAGTGGTTTATAATTGTCAGTTATAATGCATATTTTTTTGTGTTTTTTCTTTCATCTATCACAAGAAGTTTTAATCTTTGTCATGCATTTTTCTCAGATGGAATAATTTCTTGGTGCTTAAATACTTTTAAAAACTCTTATATACCTGTTTAAAGCTCTACTTTGCATACACATGCAAACTATGCTTGGCTTAACTACACTCATGTACACACATACACATGCATCATTGTTTAAAGAAATGTAGAACATAGGAAAAAAACTTTACTTCACTGATGTACCATTAACTATTGTCAAATATTTACACGACAAAGGTTAGATGGAATTACATGGAATCATTATTTGGTTCTGCTTACATGTGTAGAATTAGGCCTACATTTACATTAATGGGAAATGGTATTACTTTTTCTTAGTGGACATTGATAGTCTATTAGTTGCACTCTTTTGATACAATATGAATAACATTAAGCAGTCATGATCAGGTTAATCCCAAGTCATGACTGACTTGCAATGATTTACAATATTTTCATTGTTAACCTGAATAAGAACCATCACAATACTTAATTGGTTGATTATCTTCAATCACAATCAGCATGCATACATCTCTAATTCCAATTTTTGCCCACAATCACAAACACTGCATCATTTTCAAATTTCAAACAGTAACATTAAGTAATATTATGGTTGTTTGTTGTTTTTAGTATGATTTTAGATGGGATCTTGAAATGAATCAGAAGAACACAAATAGATAAGTGATGTGTGAAAAAGTGAAAATGGAATTTGCCATTGAATTTGTTCATAGGCCAATTTAGGAGAAGGACAACAGTGTTAATACATTACATTGGTAATACTGACTTCCTATTTGTTATTAAAAATATCCGATGGCTGACCGGTAAACTGGCTCACTTCATAATGCAGGCCACATTTCACTGCACTGCATAGTTCCTGTTTAGGTCTGAAATGACTTTAGTCAGTTTTGCAAAGATCCCTTTACATTATATCTGCCAATGTTGCTGCCATGACATCACACAATTCAATTTCCACATCAGTGGAATAATCTAGTTGTGAAGTCCTGCTAATTTTTTTCTACTTCAGAGGAGTTTTGTAAGAAATATCAGTGCATCACTTAATAAACCTATACAGTACAACTTGTTTATGAAGTTAAAGGTATTCTAGAAATGCTCTCTATGAAACGAAAATCTGTAAATGAGTTGCATATCAATAAGTCAAGACAGAATAGATGACATACAAACTTTATTTGAGAATCGTGTTGAGTGAGAAAATCTTTTGAAAGCAGAGTGGTTTAACTGCAAATCACGCAGGCCATGGCATTATTTTACTGGAAGCTGATGGTTATCTGTCACTTAACATTATTATATGTGTTTATTTCTTTTGCAGATTCTATCAGTTTCAGTTTTAAGGCTTAATGAAGTCAATAAATGGCACAATATCTAAATACAGTTTGGCGTTTTAGCAAACCATATATCACAGTATTAGCTTGACTTTGTGAGAATGTTTTTCGGTTGTGTATTTGGTTGTAAAAGAATTAAGCTATTTTTGTAATTACTTGTCTAAATATGTATAACTTGAAATCTGGTTAACTAAACATGTAGACTGAAATAAACTTTCTGGTTTATGGTTTCTTGTCATTAAATCATATGTAATCATGTAAAATTATTTTGTTTCATTCATTCCAACATTAAACATAAAGGAGCAAAAATTACAACCAGAGGCCAGTATGTCCTGTACCACGTGAAACATACACTGTTGCCCATAAAGTTGGAATAATTTTGTTTTCAGACACAATCCTCTGTTTATTCCTATTTAAATGCATCAGTAATCACTTTTGACCAGGTGCAATGATTACATTATGTGTCCCAATTGCCCAGGTGAAATTAAATAATTCACATTGTCACAATCATTTCATGGAAAGAGGTAAAAAATATTTTATTCTAACTTTATGAGCAACAGTGTATTAGAAAGGACAGCAGCTTCCTCAAAGGCTGAGTCCCTTGCAAGGCTGAACAATAATTGACGGAGGAAAGGCAAAAAGAAGATCCTTCACTACCGGGCAGTGTCCCTAATTGATGATTTCTAGAGTTCAACAATCTCTTCAGATATATAACACTTGCTACTATAACTGGCTGTTTAAGAAATTCTTATTATCTGACACTTTAACAGAAAACTTTGACATGGGTTAATGTACATCATGCTAGCAGCTCTCTGAGGCTGGTGCTTTGTGCTAAAAGCTAACATCAGCATGGTAACATGCTCACACTGACAATTCGACTATGCTGATGTTTACCACGGTCACCAGCTTAGTTTTGCATGTTAGCATGCTAACATTTACTAATTAGCACAATACACAAAGTACATCTGAGGTTAAAAAGTCATTAGTTTTATAGATCGGCTATCTGAGCTGAAAACACAGTACTGGACAAATTAAAATTTCATTGTGATTATGATGCTAGAGGGAAAGTCAGGGGATCACCAGAGCCAGAGGACTTCATCCTCTGGGGACCATGAATGTCAAAATTTCACAGCACTTCATCCTCTAGTTGCTGTGATTTTTCAACCTGGACAAAAGCAATTTTTCAAATTTTACCAAACATTTTCACAAATCATTCGCATATGTACTCTATTATAACAGCTGAATGAGCTCATTGTTTCTAAGACTAAACAACAGGTTACACAATTGGTTGCAGTTGATCCATGTGGTAGGAACATTGGAGCAAAGGCACACAACATTAACATCTGCTTGAATTGTTTACAGCAGCTGAGTGTCATGTTTTGAGTTTAAATAATTGCTGGCTTTAACATATAACCTTAGGGCTATATTTGTGGTTTAGTGTTTGCAACTATTAGATTGGTGCCACATTTGTTATAATCATTGACCACCATGGAATTGTTATATAGCTAAATTGCCAGCAGTCGCATGCTTAACTATATGTAAATTTGAAGGTTTGTCCTCCCAAAAATAGTTTAAATGAAACGCTATCACGCACTCAAATACACCTCAAGGTTTATTTAAGAAATATTTGGACTTTGGATTAATGACAAGACAGTCAGTTTCTGAGGTTATTAAAGCTTTTATATATATATATATATATATATATACACCTCTATAACCTTAAAACATTTCAGTTGTTATACCTATGCATTGATTGCATCATAATACAAATTTCAACACAGTGTTTAAAACACTGAATCTGAATTAATCTGAATCTTATCATTGTCTTTAAACAGCGTACACTGACAGGTGGGAGTGAAATTATTGTGACATGTTAATAGGCCTTTTTTTTGCTTTTTAGAGACATTTTCACTTAGGAAAAGCACAGTTGTTACAAACAACATTAACAATGGCTCCATTCTATTCATGTACCTGTCAAGTCATGACTGTGTGGCACTGAGCCAGCATGCACAAAACCAGGACCCTTACACTGAAGCAGCTACATGTCATCATTCATCATTAATTTTACTATTTACCCCTGTGCTTTCTGTGATAAAGTCAAAATGTCTGAGGCTAAGTTGGATGCGAAGTAGTTTTACTGTGTGTATTACTGTGTCTCAAGGACTTCAGAAAAATGGCCAATTTGCTTTTAAAGTTTCAAATACAGGGGAAAAATTATAAAATCTACACTGGTATGAATTATATTTTGGCACAAAAATCATACTGCTTACAAGATATTCCACATTTTGTCCAGCATAAAGATTGCATTCTCTTTGCTTCTTTGATTCTCATTACTTCAATGTGATATTTACCCATAATGATTGTACCTATAATTTTGTTGAAGGATTTCTGATGAGCATCTGACCAGTTTGTTAACCTTAAAGTACTATAAGTACATCTGAATTAGTAGCAGTTGCACCATGGGGGAGTGGTATCACTTTTTCGGTTGAATTCCCCATGAGACCATTTTATATCAGACCTTTCAATATACACGTTAAATGTGTTCAAGTGCAAAAAAACAGTCATTGTCATCTATCTGACCAACAAAAAAATGTTTTCGTACCAATGTAAAATAAAAGCATGGATGTATCATTATTTTACCCCTTTTATTATCAGCACAGTATGTACAAGAAACATTGTGCACAAACAAAACTGTTCACAGACACAGCCAGAAAACCAAAAAATTAATGATTCGTCAAAGCAAGATGTATAACATAACATATTTCACAAAAATGCTGCGTTTTCAGGGCCTTCTTATGTTTAAGGTTTCTTATTGTGGTGCCATATTCTTGACAAAGATGATCAAAATCTGTTTTGGAGTGAGTCCATTTCTTCTTATGAATGTGAAATTTAATAAAATAAAAACCTTTTCCATGTCATTGCTTTTGAAACAGATTAAAATGTCTTGTGAGTGGATTGCTTGCTCATTCTTTGTCCTTATAACATATATTGAACATCCTGCCAAGAATGTTTTTGGTGTAAAACAGATCGCAACTTTTGTTTTTCTGATCCACAGATATCATCACCATAGTCAATATGAAGTCTAAACCTCTCCATTACTTGTTTTACTGGATATATCCAATGCAAAATTCTATTCTATTCTTATTCTTTTGGTGTCACTGAGCAGTAAATTCATGTTAAATGTGAATGTGTGAAAGAAAAATGTAGGCTCGGGCAAAAGTATCAAGTCCACATTTCCCAGAGTCCTCTGCGGCCCGCTCCTCTCCTCAAAACTTTTGCATCCGGGTCTGTACTTCCTTTTCCTCTGTGCCTAGATGCGATGAGGACTTAGGTTTCCCCGGACCTCTAAAAAATCCGAATCCATCCTTGTTAAAGGCACCACCGAACCACGCCAAAATGACCGAGCAGATGACAGTGAGGGGGACCCTGAAAGGGCATAGTGGATGGGTCACCCAGATCGCCACTACGCCCCAATATCCCGACATGATTCTGTCGGCGTCCCGAGGTGAGGTTTCCCCTCTGCCGGCTCAGCCAATATGGCTCTGATAGCACTAGGCAGCTAACTGGTTTGCTACTATAACGTAAGATAAATGACGATACGGACGTGAGTGGCACATGAAATGCATGTAACCAGCCATGAAGACATCTAATGCTTTTATACAGTTTGAACACTATCATAATATGTTGACGTTAGAGAGATAGACACCGGTTAGCCGAGCTAGCTAACACTATCAGGCGTCATCAGCAATTCAGCTCTGCATTGAATCTGTGACACGTGTAATAACATATAAATGTAAGTCCAGGTGTGATAACATACATAGTTGTAACTGCAGTTAGATGCATGAATGTGTGGTCTAATAACAGCCTATTACTAATCTTTGTATGTTGAGCCTGCTAACTGAGTAAATGTTTGACAGCTTTCCCTGGTAATGCACTTGTCCAGTGCTAAATATTACTTGCTGATGTTCAAAATATCTGTTTTTTACTGGTTGGAAATGAGGACACTGATTTATTCTAAAAATTGTATTTTTGTTTGTTTTCCAGACAAGTCAATCATCATGTGGAAGCTGACCCGTGATGAAACCAACTATGGCATCCCCCAGCGCTCCCTGAAGGGCCACTCTCACTTTGTAAGTGATGTTGTCATCTCCTCAGATGGACAGTTTGCCCTGTCTGGTGCCTGGGACGGGACCCTCCGCTTGTGGGATCTTACCACGTAAGTGCCGGGAGTGGACTCTTGAGTTACTGGCCAGATGTCCTCTACAGGATTACAGTAGATGATTTGCATGCGTTCATGCTAAACACTAGTGTGGCCACAAGTATAAACTAAGCAGGAAAATACCCAGACTCACTGTAGCTTAGCCACAGGAATCTTAAATCACTGATGTTAAAATGACAGTTTGAAACGATCATCTTCACCATTGATTAATATACTTTTATAACAGAGATACACCAGGTGAGCATTAAGCCCTTCCCCACGTTAATTGGTCAGATCTGAAACAAACCCAGTGTAATTTGTGTCATTAGTGAAAATTTGTAATGGTAGATTTGGTCACAATTCAGTAGGTCACCGCTTAGTGTCATAGTGTTACTTGGTAGGAGGCAGTAATGGACCTCTCTTTCAGCTATACAAGAACTTTTAATGACCAGTATGTGCTGTAAACATTGATGTTGCCAGTATATGATAAATATTCATTGTCACCCATAACTTGCATCCATTAACACACAACGTTGAGAGGCAAGTTGTATTGACTCTTCAATGTGTTCATAACTTTTGGAATAGGTCTTAACCAGTGTTAGCTGCAGCTGTATTAGACATGCATTTGGTTATCTCTGCTTGTCTTAATATGTGCAACAGTTGTGATCATTTGTAATGTTTGGTATTTTTCCCCAGTGGCGCCACCACCCGCCAATTTGTTGGACACACCAAGGATGTTTTGAGTGTGGCCTTTTCTGCTGATAACCGCCAGATTGTGTCTGGCTCCCGGGACAAGACCATCAAGCTATGGAACACTCTCGGAGTCTGCAAGTACACCATCCAGGTGAGCTGCCAGCTGACCTTTCTGTCAGTGGAGTTAGTTAATGGTTGTAAGTACTAGACTGTGACGTTGCACTACTTTGAATGAGAAGTTGAAATTTTGTAATCCCTACTGATTTAAAAAAAAAAAAAAAAAAAATGCTGAAATATGGAATTTTCTCAATTACAGTTCTAAATTCTTTCATTAGTGAGAGACTAGCAGCCCAACCAAACACTTAACTGTAGACATTCATGTTTTCTCCTCCTTACTTACGTGATCAGAGATGCTAATGATTCCATCTGGCAAAATACAAATCGCTAATGTTGGATAACCAAGTATCTTTTATTTTTACCTCTTCAATGTGCAGGATGAGGGCCACTCTGAATGGGTGTCCTGCGTGCGCTTCTCCCCCAACAGCAGCAACCCCATCATTGTCTCCTGCGGCTGGGACAAGATGGTCAAGGTATGATTTTACTTACAGCTCCTTTACCTTACACCTGTGACTTATAAAAAGAACCTGAATGAAATTTAATCCTAAATTTGTTGACTTAAAAATTAGCATGTATTATCTGACTTCGATGATGAAAAAGATTGATGAGGCACTACCCAGATAGCTGTATATGGTGGGGTATGTACTTCTGAGGTGTGATTGTAGTCTTCCTATCCTATTCTCCTAGGTGTGGAACCTGGCTAACTGCAAGCTGAAGACCAACCACATTGGCCACACTGGCTTCCTGAACACAGTGACTGTCTCTCCTGATGGATCCCTGTGTGCATCTGGTGGAAAGGTATGATATACATTTATTTATTTATTATTATTATTGTAGACTGTCACAGAATGTTTTTGACCTTTTCAATGCTCATTCTGAACCCAATAGAAACACTAGCTTAAGTTCAGTGTGCAGGTTTCAACAGTGATGAAAACTTTAGATGCATCTGTTAAACAGTGATGATAAAAGAGGCTGTTTCTGAGTGGTACCTGCACTTAATAATATTGTTGTTAGTGCTGAAGATTTGTAATGTTAATGCAACAATTGCATAGTCATTGGTTGTCTATCATGTACATATCCTAGAAATTGGCTATATGTATGACTTACAAATATGATTATTGAAGAATACTTTTCTCTTTCCATTCAGGACGGACAGGCCATGCTGTGGGACCTGAATGAGGGCAAGCACCTCTACACCCTGGACAGCGGTGACACTATCAATGCCCTCTGCTTCAGCCCCAACCGCTACTGGCTGTGTGCTGCCACTGGCCCCAGCATCAAGATCTGGGTAAAAGACTTCATCCTAAATACCTCACTACCAGTATATGCATTAGCACCATATACACTGTAGCATAAGCTATAGTGTAAAAGTCAGTGATGAAACTTCGAATGCCAACTGTATTCTTTGATGATAAAGAGGCTGTTTCTGAGCTTTAACGTAGACCAATTTGTTAGTTGTGTAATTTTGGATGCAGTAGCCTCTGTCATTGATCCATTGCTACCTCTCTGTCTGGTGTTTTCCTTCTCTTCATGTAGGATCTGGAGGGCAAGATCATTGTGGATGAGCTGAGACAGGAAGTGATCAGCACAAACAGCAAGGCTGAGCCCCCACAGTGTACTTCCCTTGCATGGTCTGCTGATGGACAGGTACAACACACTCAGCTCTTTAGGACCTATCGGTACAGATGGCTGGCTATCCCACTAGTCAGTGGTTTTAGTGTTTTTACCCCCAGTGATTATACCCATTCACTTATAACTCTGATGTCCACTGGTGACAGTCCTGCAAATATGAGGGGCACTAGAAACACTTATTTGAGTATTATTGGACAAACTATAGGACTATAATATCACAGAATTTGAGTACTGTTAATTTCAATCCCTGTTCTTTTACAGACCCTGTTTGCTGGCTACACTGACAACCTGATCAGAGTGTGGCAGGTCACCATTGGAACTCGATAAGAACTTTTCGTTGATGAGACTTTGAATAAAAGACTGTTTGAAAAGATGATGTGTGCTTTTTTTGGTTGCAACACTATGATAATGATTATATTACAAACAGTACAATATTTCCTTATTGTATATTTATAATAGGTAGAAGTTAGATTTTTAAATTTCACCCAAATAGGTATAATCAGTAGGGACAATAGTGATTTCCAAACCAAAATAGTTTTGATATTTCAAGGGTTTATTCCAAAGTTTGTTTACAGTTTAAGCAAGTTATATTTAAACATGACACATGTCAACACTGAGTTTAGTGCAGAGAATAGCCATATTTTTCATCCAAACTCATGAATATTCTTGTACACACTAAAAGCTGAAGTAAGGGTAATGTCTCTAAGAAGAGGAATTACACTTGGTTGACTTTAAAGCCTGTAGGTTACGTGGAACTCGAACCATATTATTTTATACATTGTATGGATTGTCCTGCTTAGCTTCCCGTAGACGGGTAATTGTATCCTGGCAACCCGAATACAGACATCGAGACCGTGTGACTGGTTTAAAGAAACAACTAGCCGCTCTTGGATATATTTAAATTTTTTTAAGTTAATAACTTCATTTCATGAGCGTAATATACTTTATCTTTAACGCGAGGCTATAGATGCTTGTGTAACTAGCATGAAGGAAAGGATGGACCAAAGTTCATCTCGCATTTACGTGGAGAGAACTCTGGCTATCATTAAACCAGATGCCATTCACGAAAGTGAGAAGATTGAAGACGTTATCCTCAAGTCGGAGTTCACTATTTTGCAGGTCGGTTTTACATTTGTTGTTTGAAAAATGCAGAGGTAGAAAGAATAACGTGAACATATGTGAATTACAGTGCCCTCTAATGCAACAGATATGTCATTCCGTGAACATTTACATTTGTCGTGGGAGACGGGTGGTTTCACTTTTACGGGTGTGCTTTACTGTATCTAGAAGGGGTCGATCCAACTAAAGATATTTGATTAGTGATTTTTGATGACATAGTTTAGGTATTAACTTTTGTTGTAAGATGCTCCTACATAAACAGATAAGGCTTTCTCCGATTTTGTGTAGCGCCTCATGATTATATTAATAACTGATTTATTGCACATATATTATCTGTTATACGTAACAAGAAACTGCTGTACAGAAATATTTTTGAGGCAATGGAGACAGTTTCACCATTACATAGTTTCCCCACCAGAGTGCGCCGACAATGCTTTACGAAGCACTACATTTATGTGATTTTTGTTTTCAAGTCAAAATTAAATGATTAGGATTTGTATTTTTTGGTGCAGTGTTTTCCAGGAAGTTGAATCTTAGAATGAATTGCATACTTTTGAATGCCTGGTAATACAATGAATGCCATGTGAATGTTTCCCTGATCTACCAACTCAGTTAGGTCTGAGAATTACTCGTACTCATCTGAGTGGTTTGAGATAGATAGTGGATTCATTCTGATCCACTAAATTTGATTTACCTTTTTCCAAACATCTTACTAAAGTGTCCAATACTTCATCCCTGCGGCAGAAGCGGAAGCTGCAGCTCACTCCAGAGCAATGCAGCGACTTCTATGCAGACCAGTATGGAAAGTTCTTTTTTCCCAGCTTGACCGCCTTCATGAGCTCTGGTCCCATCATTGCGCTGACTCTGGCCCGCAACAATGCTATTGCCCACTGGAAGTCCATCATAGGACCTGTCAACAGCACCAAGGCTAAAGAAACTCATCCAGAATGGTATGTTTTACTTCTAACTTGTTAGTGTCTGTGTTAATTCAGACTTCTGTTCTGTTGTTTGTTTGTTTGTTTAGATAAAATATATTACAGTGATAGGCATTTTGATTGACTCACTGCTTTGGAATGCTGATATGTATGGTGCATACATACAAACCAGGCTTGTGATTGTTGAGTTCGTCTCCTGAACTCGCATGTTGCTTTGATGAAGGAAACAGGACACTCTTTCAAAGTTCAAATCCCAGTATTTATTAAAGCTAACAGCAATATAGCATTAGAAAAAGGAGATTGTTACAGAGCTCTGGGCCAAACTATCTCTCCCTGACAACAACATGCAGTTGCGCCAGTTCATGAAGTCTGACTGCCTACCTCTTCCTGACCCAGTCTTTTCATATTCTTACACAGAAAAAATAATACAATGTGGGTTGATTCTCTTATCAGTCCATGCCGCTGTCTTCTTGTTTTGCTCCTCCACGTGTTCTCTGTTTTGTTTCACCTCGTGTTATCTGACTCTCCTACGCGGTACAGCCCTCATGGTGGTGGATCTGTGAGAGATTCACACAAAGAGAGACAATACCCTACCCTATTCCTCGTTTTTTGTCTTACTTCTGTTCCGGGATGTCTACCATATAAGGAGTTGTGGCCTTCAAACAATATCATAAGTTCAGTCTGTTCTTCTGTAATGTTGCACAGCAAATTTTATGAAAAAGTCACTTAGTTATAAGCATATTATGATTACATCAACAATGTACACATTGTTTTATTAAAAGCAAACAACAGATTAATATAAAATCCTCTACATGATCTATCCCATAATGTCAAACAAAACATTTTAGTTCTTGGTAATGCATTACGCGTTTGCTTAGAAACAGAGTCGGGCACAGACCTTCAGAAGTTCTGTACATGTCTCATATATAGATATACTTGGGTCAGACACATTATGTTGAACAAAATGTGTGAAACACTGTTTACTTTACAGTGACTCCAGTATTTGCTCAAATATATATAATTCATTGTGATTCTGAGCCCTAGCCTCTGACGAGTCATAATAATGACTCTGATTATTAGGAGTGTAATGGTCAGAGGCTAGGACTCAGAATTATCATACTATAGACAAACAGTACATAGTTCACCTTGCACTATGAATGCAGGTGATCCTTTGATTTGGATCCTTTTTGATTTGTTGTTTTATCTAAAGTAGAAGGGTAAAGGTTTGCGGTCATGACAACCCATGCAGGAGTATTTATATGAATGTGTTATATTATTTCCCCAGCCTTAGAGCAAGATATGGCACTTCTGACCTGAAAAACGCACTCCATGGCAGTGAGTCGTTTCATGCAGCTGAGAGAGAGATCAAATTCATGTTCCCAAACTGTAAGTAATATACACACTCACACATACTGTTATTAATATAGAAATGTGGTATTGAACATTTAAGATTCTGTACTTGACATGTTCCCTCTCTTTAGCTGTAATCGAACCCTTTCCCTCAAGGGAAAGAATCGAAGAATACCTGAGCAGGTATGTAAACCCAACTCTACTACGTGGACTCACTGAGCTCTGCAAGCACAAGCCACACAACCCCTGTGTAAGTGTTCAGTGCTCAGCATTTTGAAATATACAGATGGACAGATTTATTCATTAGCCATTGTTTATTGCTGTTAATATTACTTTTACTATGTTGTTTGCTGGTCTTGCACTTGGAGTCCCTGAAACATTGCAGACGATTTTCCTGCACTTTCTTTTACAATAGGTTTGGCTTGCTGACTGGCTGGTGAAAAACAATCCAAACAAGCCTCAAATATGTGATGTTGAAGAAGCAGAATGAAAAATACGAAATTACAGAAAATGTAATATTTTAACAAATGTGTTCAGTACTACAATAAAATGAAATGTATTTTCAGCACCAATCATCTGTTATGTTTGCTTTATATTAAAGTTAGCTTATATATAGACCTTTTTTTTTTAAGCACTTCTGTAAGTGGCGTGTCTTGATTCATAACTTGAATTAAAATGCAGCAGATTTACATGAGAGCACTAAGAACTGGTCAAAATCATTCAATTAATCAAATCACAGATTTGTTTTTTTGGTTTTTAATAAAGCATAGAATTGAGCTGCCTGCCAAATCAGCCAGGGGTTTAAAATGTTCCATTTAATTTACTGAACATGATTGCATTGAGTGAACTGGATGAGTTGTATGACCTGAGTTGAGATGAGAACATTAACTAAGTTGGACCAAACACTCAGTAACACGTTTACATACTTTGACCAGCTTCATCTTTGGTTGCTCTTCTGGAAATGGTTCACAAAACACAAAGTCTTATTATTGTCAAAGTACCTTCATGTGCGTATGGCTGTACAAAGTAGATGAATTCCCCTCGTCAACTGAGCATTACAGTGTTTTATTCACAGGAGTTGTATGGCAGACTGATTATGTAAGAAAATAATCCCAAAAACCACTGATGGTATTGTGTTTTTGAGAGTTTTTCAGCAATCAAGGAAAAAACATAGAAGAATACCTATTATAATTATTGACATGTGGCTGGATGTTTCAGTCAGTTTCTAAATGCCATTTGAGTCCAGGTTATTTAGTCTGCAGGGTGTAACTATGATTGCAGCTTTTTATATATGTGGTTCCTAACTCATTGTCTCGACAGAGGGCTATAAAAGACTGAAGAGCTGCAGATTTTTGGATCGGCTCTGGTCCCTGCAGCCCGCACAGAAAAATCAGGTATAGAAAGATGGATGGCTGATAAATCAAGTGAATGGTCAAACAGACCAAAATATGCCAGTCAATGTCAAACTGTCTATTCCCATATCTACAGGATCTTGAATAATTAAATATCAATAATAACTTACAGTGCATTGCAGTACAACACAGCACATTATGACCTCATTACTTGTTGAATCAGCAACTCTTTGACAGGCCCAATACTAACTGCACAAAAACTCAACAAAACAGTGTTTATTGTGAACCTGCAATGTACTTTATAATGTATTTGATTTAACTGTTTGTTATTTTGTCCAACCCGTGCTCAGTATTTTTTTAAACCTGTAGTCACTGAATTAAATGTCCATATATATATATATACAACGCTTAATGACAGCTCTGTAAGTACATTATTCGTCAATTATACATGATAACCTGATATTTTCCACACTGTCCGTTAATTTTTACACGCACATAGGCATGATACTGTTGAATCTGGTTACATTTTTGTCAGATTAAGAGTGGATTGCAAGACACACAAAAGATAAGAATAGCGCTTTGAAACATTATTCGAAGCGAAGTATTGGCTGTGTCGAGTTGAAATAGACGAGCGGGGTAGAAGTCGTTTTTATTAGAAGCAGAATAGGTACTTTGAGTTCCTTCCTGTGTGTTAGGGGCGTGGACGTCTTCTGTGAAAAGAAAGTAGCGCGTATACAATTGGTCGAAGCCGTGAATGGCAGCAGCTACTATCCAATTAGACTCCGTCTCCTCAGAAATGTGTTTTTTTTTCTGCCGGTTCTAGAAAACCAACCACGAGTTGTCGTCGTGTGGGAGAATCCATCTTGAAGAGAGCTCTCCGGTTGTGTTACCAGTAAGCAGGTTTTCGTACTACTTTAGCCTTGGTTTTTTCATTATATTGTCACGTAAGTACTCGGATTGTTGTAGTCTTTTCGTTATTTTATCTTTTAGAGGTAGATTAAATGTCTTTGAGTAGTAGAAAATATGAGCATAGACGGAGTGCGGTTAGCACGGCCTCTGCATTACGTAACTGCGAATTTGAGTTGTACAGTCTAGGCTTGGGTTATCAGTGTGATACAGATGGCTCCCCTTTTTCTAATCTTTGGCTGTAGCAAAATTGTACTTTAAGATGGTGGGTGGTTACTGCGTTGTGTAAGTAAACATAACTCTGTTGCCATTTGCTTGCACTCGTTAACAAATGAGGCTTTCTGGGAATGTATGGAGCGCGATTGTGCCGGCCAAAATGGTGGGAAATGCCATGTATTGGCACCATGTAAATGGCGAGGCATGTACGGCATTACGGGTTATATAATCACCGTGATTTTCTAAGTTAATGATTTTTTTCCTTTCGGTTTAGGTATAATAGTGCAAAATGTCTGAGACAGAGCAGCAGTATATGGAAACATCAGAAAACGGCCACGAAGTCGACGATGATTTCAACGGAGCCGGCCTCACCGAAGAGGGGAACGACGACAGCACCGCGAATGACTGCGGAGAGGGCGCGGGGCCCGACGCCGACGGGAACTCACAGAACGGTGGCACCGAGGGCGGCCAGATCGACGCCAGCAAAGGCGAGGAGGATGCGGGGTGAGTCTACAATGGCATAATGTGATTCTTTGGTGAAGCCGACACTTATATACGTACTCGTGGCTTGCCATGTTTCTTTGTTCAACCGGCCTTTGTTGGCGCCATGTGCAGAGTGGAGGGGGGATGGGCGCTTGAGCAGGGATCAAATCTAACATGTATTGGCTCATAAGGAGCAATAATTTTGCGGTGGTTTCTGTGGTCGCACAGCAATTTTTTAACTATATTGAATTAATGTCGTAAAATAGCCTGAAGCTATTGCAACTGTAGCCTGCCGTCCTACGTCATTGGGTCAACAGATGTTGTGGAACAGTGTGTACATTTACACCCCCTCCTGCCCAACAACCACCCCCACCCCCACCGCCATATAAAGTTGTAGTAGCAGTGCTGCCTGTAACGCTAAACCTCTCCCTTTTCCTCTTTCTGTGTTTAGGAAAATGTTTGTCGGTGGTCTTAGCTGGGACACAAGCAAGAAGGATCTTAAAGATTACTTCTCTAAATTTGGTGAGGTGACAGACTGCACCATAAAAATGGACCAGCAGACAGGCCGGTCAAGAGGCTTCGGCTTCATTCTCTTTAAAGATGCCGCAAGTGTAGACAAGGTGAGTTGGGAAGAAATTATGTTAGAGCTTTATCAACTCTAGTGTGTATACGGGGTGGGCAGTTTTCAATGTTCTCTCCCCTCCCTTAGGTTCTTGAACAGAAGGAGCACAGGTTAGATGGCCGACAGATCGACCCCAAGAAGGCCATGGCCATGAAGAAGGATCCAGTCAAGAAAATCTTTGTGGGTGGCCTTAACCCTGACACTTCAAAGGAAGTCATTCAGGAGTACTTTGGGACCTTTGGAGAGGTAAGACATTTATGGGGTTTTGCCCTATGTGAAGCCTTTGAATTACAATGACACTGACTGTTTCAAATGTTTGTTTTTTCTCTTGTTTAGATTGAGACCATTGAGCTTCCCCAAGATCCAAAGACGGAAAAGAGACGGGGATTCGTATTCATCACATATAAAGAAGAGGCTCCCGTCAAGAAAGTTATGGAGAAGAAATACCATAATGTTGGTGGAAGCAAGGTAATGGCATATCACACATTCTTTATTCAGGGGAAATTGTGTATCGTGTACTCAGTTTCATAATTGTGCTCCATAAGCTATTTCACTCTTAAATGCAATGTGCTCTTGTGTGGTGTTCCAGTGTGAAATTAAAATAGCCCAGCCCAAAGAGGTCTACCAGCAGCAGCAGTATGGTGCTCGTGGATACGGAGGACGTGGCAGGGGCCGTGGAGGTAAGCGCCTTTATATGCATACCAGCAAAGTCTTTATTTTAACCTAGACTCAATTGTAAATTTGTGTGGATTAACTGTCTGGGTTCTGTGTGCGGGAGAGTTGTGACAAAGGCTTCACCTGTTGTTTTTAGGCCAGGGCCAGAACTGGAATCAAGGCTACAATAACTACTGGAACCAGGGATACAACCAGAACTATGGCTACGGACAGCAAGGCTACGGATATGGCGGCTATGGCAACTATGACTACTCTGCTGGTTATTACGGCTATGGGGGTGGCTACGATTACAGTAAGCGATAAGTGCCCCCAGGGAAAGAAAAAGAAACTTTATTTTCTTGGTCCTCCTTGTTGTACAGAAGAACTCAGTCCCTTTTTCTCTTGTCCTCCAGACCAGGGCAATACAAGCTATGGGAAAACTCCAAGACGTGGAGGCCACCAGAGTAGCTACAAGCCATACTGATCACACGTAGTGCAGGTATGCATTTTTGCATCATCCGTGGTAGTATGAGAACATAGCTGTAACCATTGGTGCCTTTTTGACCCCAAAGATCTCCATCTACTCTAAATCCATTCAAGCATTGTGGTGGGGTTAGGGTAGGTCGTGTTGTGGGGTCTGTGATCATTAAAGATGGATTCATTCCACCTGTCAGCCATCTTAAGATGCATCTCTACAAACACTACTTGATCAATAAGGGTTGAGTTTGTGGTGGTTGAGAACAGGAATAAGGACCGTTCCACCTTTCACCAGGGTGCTACGTGTAATAGCTAGCGGTCGTGTGTCCCCCTCCCCCCAAAGTGTGTCTGTCCATTCACTGACCTGTCAAACTCATTCATGCACCTGTCTGTCTTTGTGTAACTGCATGCCATATTTGGTTTATTCTCAGTAACGTTAAGCACCGTGTTTTTCTCTTAAGGTCTAAAGTAAATAAGAAAAAGAGATCCATGGTCTGACCACAGCGAACATGGGCTCTGGCTTTTCCTTTGGAGTTGGCAGAAATTTGGACTCATGCTCCATTTGTACAGATCAAGTGAGGAACTGGGGAAGCAAATGTCACTTTTCCACTTTTTATTTTATATTGTTTTGTGTCCATTTACATTTCCAGTGATGGAAGTGTTATTTTTACTGTACTTTTTGGTACCTTTTTGAATCTAATGTATTGTATGGTTGTATTTTTACATGTCTACTGGATTTACAGATGAGCAGGAGCAAGAGCTTTAAAAGCTCACAAATAAAACAACTTTGCTTTTTTTTTTTTTTCTTTTGGTGTTTATAGATCTTTAGTTATTTTCTCCCGTGCTGAGTGTTGGATGCGAGTTGCATGGCTTCAGATGTGGGGTGAGGTAAAATAAGGGATTTAAACTAATCAAAGGGTTCATTGTCAGCGTATCAATGAATGTTTGCAGATGGCATAGTAGACGAAGACAACCAGCATCTTTTTTTTTTTTCTTTTTTTTTTTTTCCTTTGGCTTTTAAGGAGATTCTTCCCCCATCATGTCTGCAATTTTAAGTGGCTTTACTAGTGTTATTCAACTGAACGCAAGCCTGTTAATGTAAGAGGGTACTCCCTCTCTCACTGGAAACTCATTCCTCTAGTGTCTTGGGCAAATTGGTAGAAATAAACTTTTGGTTTATATTACACATGGATCTTTTTGTTATTATTTGTAAAGTTAATGTTAAATGTTTTGTACTGTTAAATGGCTTGCTTGTTTTGTCTTGAGTAATGTTAACATCTCTACGGATGCCTCTTTGGGAAGCTGTGGGAGAGGGCTTCACTACCTGCAGGATAACTGGCTGAGTGTTAATACCCACCCCACTAGATGTGAAACTGCGATACTTGAGAATTTTTGTGAATGTGTCCAGGAGTTAAAGATAGTGGTCTGGTAAGTGCTTATCTCAACCATAATGTATATTGAGAACATGTTGCTGATCAGTGTTATAAGCTGGGATTCATTATTTTAAATATTGCTACTGTGGGTAAAAGAAAAGTCAGAATAGACAGTGAGGAATTGGTGATAACTAAGTTTTATTTAAAAAGAAAAAATCTTTATGGAAGTTCATTAATGTCATGTTAGTGTCTTGTATATCAGTCATCTCCCAGGTGGTAAAAATGTGCTACAGCTGGCATCACTTAAAAATATGATTGCCTTCATTTGGCTGGGTTTCATCAGAGCGATGAATGCCGCACCATAAATTGGCACTGAACACCTGGGGGAAAAAAGAGATTTCAGTTTTAGGTTGTGTGGCTCCAAACAAATCATAGTGCCATCTACTGTCACTACTTTTCTATTCCCTAAATTTAAGCTTTGATATAAAAATTTACTGCTAGAGACAGTTGTTATACATCAGACTTTAACTAATGCATTTCAAAAACAAAGTGATGTGGTCCCCACAGTGGTCAGTGTTGAGTGCAAGGCGGCAACATGTTCTGCCAGGTGAAATGACTGAACTTGTTTGATCTACTGGAACCTCAAGTATAGACATTCATATCTCTACCTCTGAACTTTATGAATGTGACCATCTGACAATGTCTGATGCAATTAAAAGTTTTTCTACAGGTTTAACAAACCTTAGATGTCTTCCTTTTCCAGTTTAAGGTCATTGGCTTCCACGTCTGTGAGAACAAGAAAATGTAACTTTATTCTGCACTTCAGTTATGAATGTGTGAAAGAAACTCTTTGTAGGCATCTTTTTTATTATTATTATTATTATTGATTAAGTGTTTTGTGTTAAGCCGATTACATATATACAATCCTGTGGTACCAGTTTAAGTGTCAAGATGGTGTTTGTGTGATTAACCTCTGAGGATGCGGTCAATACATTGCACCACTAGTTCTGCATCCTCCATACTGAAGCACATAGGAGGTTTAAACTTCAAGACACTTTCCCAGGGGCCATCTGTACTGACACAGATTCGATCTTCCTCTTTCAACCTGATGTAAAGGGGACCACATGGCAAGTGTACATGAGAAACAGACAGCGGACAGGCAAAAACTGCAAAACTATATCCATTAGCTATTGTATTGCACTTTAATCCCATAATCCCATACCTCTTCACCACCAATGCTGCTGTTTCTGTGGCAGGAGTCCTCTGCCCTCTGTCTTTAACCAGCTCAACTCCCACAAACAGTCCTACACCTCTGTAAAAAAAAAAAAATAGAGAAACATCTTTTTGTCACTTTTATGTCACACCACCATGCTTAATATTAAGTGTCAAAGTGGCAGTAGCTTGTATACACATTATCCAAACAGAGTGTATCTGAGGTGTATCTCAAGATTACATTATTTAGAGAGCAGCTTTTTTGTAATATTGAGGGAAGAGGGATTTTTTAAGACTACAGTTGCTGGAAGTTAAGGAATTTATATCAATACCATCATTCTGAAGAAAAACATTTGATTAAACATCCAGGTTTGGCAAGGAAGCTCAATGCTTCTGATGGGTATGTCTAGAAAATGAGTTGCTGTGGTTTTTTGGTATTTTTGCTCCGTAAATTTTGCTTGGTATTTAAATGAAATCAATGTCAAACTTAAGTGCCTTACAGAAACTTTTTTTTGGAGAAAACATTTTGACATGTCAAGGTAGGAAAAGAAAGGGTGTAAATACGGCTAAATTGTATTACTGCCACAGACTCAGGGTGGTTTCACTGTCTTGACTTACTTGGACATGTGATTAGCAGGACACATTGTTAGTGTTATGCTTAACACCCATGCTTTTCTTGCAATGATGAGTTAAAATATCTATTGTAAGGCAAGACTCACTACAAAAAATGAGAATAAATAAATCAGGATGAATTAAATGTTTCTGGGATTAGGGCGCATTTTTACTCTGGTGGTTTTGCATGCTTAACATGACATAATCTTATTTTGAATCCAATTAGCCTGTGTATAATGTAGAGTCCCAACGTTAGTTACAAGCTGTGTCATCTTCTCTCAAGAGGCCCTGCACATTCACACATATGCGTCTATTTTAGAAAAATACTTTCAAAGACTTAGTTATACTGATATGCAACTGACATTCTTCTGCTGCTGTATAATTTATGCTGTATGTGTTTATCAAGATGCATGATTTTCTGGTTACTGATCATATTTCATTGTCATTACTTCTCTACAACTATTTCAAGCCAAGGCACCCCAATGTGAAAAATTAGTGCAGCCAATTAAATATCAGCTCTCACACCACAACAGTCGAGCACTGTACCTGCTCACACTGTGAGCCGGGCTCTGAGAATAGAATAGCACTAGCCTTTATGAGTTTGAAGAGCCGGAGTGAACTAGTTACTGCATCCCTACCTGACATCACCAATTATTTGATGTCTTTTTTGTAGTTTTGTGAGCAAATCTTTAAGATGTGCTCCCACTCTCATGGCATTTCCTCTTAGGTCCTCCTCCTCTATCACATCAAGGACTGCCAGGCCAATTGCACATGACACCGGATTCCCTCCGAACTGTATGAAGTTAGACAGAACACTTTCATCTCGATATATGCAACAAGGGGTAGTCAAAACAAAATGTCCACAGAAATAGTACACTTGGAAAAATTGAATTTTTGCCTATCTACCTTAAAAGAGCCTATGGTCATGTAACTGACACAAGTACTACTACAAATTCTTACTATTTGATCACATTTCACTATGAATGACATGATTAGTGTGAGACTATAAAATAATGATCGGATTACGACTCTAAAGCTGGGAAAAGCTATAGATGCAAACTTCAAGCAGCATTCTTTGATATTTCATTGAGGTTACTGTATAGTCACCGTATTGAAGTACTCCACTCCATTGGCTGTGAAAGCTCCAGCTATCTCCACAGTGGTTGCCACACATGCCAAGGGATGGCCGTTGCCCATCGGTTTGCCCAAGGTCACTATGTCAGGACAGAAACCCTCTCCCTGCAGCTGGAAAGCCCAAAAGTGACTTCCCACACGTCCAAAACCTGTCTGCACCTCATCTGCCACATACACCCCACCAGCTGAGTGCACATATCTGTGGAGCGGATGAAGGAGATGTACCATGTCACCATTACTGCTCATGGGGCTGAGTGAAAAAAAAAAAAAAACCTGGAAACTGAGTCACCACTCACTCTGCAACTTGAGCTGAGTATCCCTGAGGCAAGATGATTTGTCCTCCAACACTTGGCAATGATTCAGCAAAGAAGGCACAGATCTATGGGAAAAGGAAATACATAAGTAGTGTAAATGTTATGCATTGTTCATGTTTATACAGCATTATTCTGAGTGTCTCTTTATACTGGTAATTGTTTTGAATGTTGTTAATTTTATTCAGGCTGAATGGAATATGTGTTGAAGTGTACCTTACGGCCTTTCTTGTGCACCTCCTCTATTATGTCTTTTACCGAATCAGCGTATGCTTGGCCTGGGTTGGGATGACTCTCTCTGTATATGCCTCTGTAGGTGTCTGGTAAGGGTGCCTAGGTGGATAAAACACATTTTTTCAGAGAGGCAGGAGTCCACTGTTGGTCAGCAGTTTGTGTAATAATAGTTGTATGAATTTACACACCACATGAACCCATTCTTTCTGTCCTGCCAGTTTCCGGAACTTGTAAGGACTAATGTCGATGAGGGACATTAGATGCCCATGGTATGCACTAGTATAAAAGAAGAGTTAATTGCAATCAATAAGTAAGTGTATTGTCAGAGGGTGAGCGTGTTGCATTAGAACACAATACTTACTGGTCAAGCACAATGACATCCTCATGTTGGGTGTGTTGCCGTGCCAAGCGTAAGGCGAGATCATTGGCCTCTGAACTGTTGGAAAAACAGATAGAAAGTAACTTGAATGATACTTCAGGAATACTTTTCTGTAGGGGCTGTGGGTGTATCAAACAGCATTACTTACCCAGAGTTAACAAAGTAGAAAACACACAGTTTCTCAGGCAGGGTAGCAGCCAGACGGTCTGCATACAGGACTATGTTGTCATGCAGGAATCGTGAATTTGTGTTCAGAAGGTCCATTTGTGCTGCAGCAGCCTTTGTAATGCTTGGGTGACAATGGCCCACTACAACAGAAAAGATTCTGTATGTTTGCCAGCAAGAGACAGGAGTGTGATGAACTTAATTAATTAAAGGCAATAAATGCGTTTTACCATGATGAACGTTGCTGATGCAGTCCAGATAGCGCTGGTGATTTTCATCGAATAGATACTGTCCTCTTGCTCTTACTATTTTCACGGGGTCGTCTGAATAAAAGAGTCTACATGACTGCCTGTAATCGAACCAATTAATGTGTCAGTATCCTTCGTGCACTCACAGTAGCATATTATGCACGACATATTGGCAAGCGCCATGAAAATCAGACAATGCTGGTCAAGATTCATTTGAACATACCCGATTAATCTTTTCCTCATTGCGAGAGTTTCTTCTTTCCTAAGTTTCTGAAGTGCCATGACTTCTTTGGTTTCTCTTGATCAACGTGCACTAGTCTGATCCCTTTCAATGTCTTAGAACTATGTGTCCCGTGGCTCTCCCTCCGCGATTAAAGGTAGAGTTAGGTTAGGATAGGTTAGGTTAGGATAGGTTAGGTTATAGTGAGGCGTAGCAGATATTTAGTCAGGTTAAGGTGAGGGGAAACATTTACGGGGAAACAGACTTCGAGTCCGACTTCATGGGATTGTTTTGCTGTCTCGTCCTGACACCAACCACGCATGCGTCAATGGTAGATTTGGGTTCAATTCAGTTAGCTCTGTAGCAGCATTGCACAACTGAGTTTTTTCTATTGCAGATATAGGTAGGCTGTGTAAATACACATATACCATAAACACATCGTTTAAATTTCGCTAAGACATTGTTTGGTCAGTTGTTGAGTTGATGCTGTCACTTTATTTAGAAGGGTCTAACTGTGGGGCTCTTCATGGGACAGAGACTTATAAAATAACATAAACACATGTTGCTGAAAATTTTGTGTCAGTTGAAAACACGTGAACAAGTGTCATATTTGAAATGTATGTGCTATATAAGAATTGTGGGATTTCTTACAAGTGCGAGTTTTGAGGCGGTGTATAAAAATACCTCTGTATTGGTATCGTCCAAAGGCTATAAATACTCCGCTTAACTGCGCTCTGTCCGGTGCGCTGTGTGCAGCTTCGGTTGCTAAGGAACCATTGAATGCAGGTAATACATCAGGACAGCTGTAGCATGCTAGCGTGCAAACAGGCTGCGTAACCAAGCTAACGCTGCAACTAATTTAGATGTATATTATCGACCCAGCGTATAAATTCATCATTGACAATTTTCATATTCTATTCTCACGAATCGTGGCTACAACTGGGTACAATGACAAGCTATTACCTTGTAGCAAACAGACCGAATGTAAGCAAACTAATGCTAGTAACGTTAGTTAGGGCACTTGTTATCGTCTCAGCTAGCTAACAGAACCGGCTAATAACTTGGTGCTCCGCGGGCTGCATCGTGTCGCTGAGCTAGCTTACTATATACTTTACCTACCAGCTAAAGTCGCTATACGATTTAGCCAGTAAATCTAGCCTCGTCTTAATAAGTCCTACATGGCCAATGACAAACAGTTGTCCTGCAGCTAACATTAGCGACAACGATATAGATCTTTAATTTTAATTGGCTAACACAATCGTGCTTTTAGGATGAGGGCAACCTGCGCAACACTGACTTAAACTTATGTTTTGGTTTGCACGTTAGTGAAGACTGAAAGTATGCGTAAGTCAGAACCAAATAACCGAACAGCCTTAATCAGTAGTGTTTTGTACTAGATATGTCTCGCTTGTCGTTTTAACAACATCATGTCATTCATTTGTAGTCCCGTCAACATTAAAGTTTCTAGGTCAGATTTAAAAGTGATGTTAAAGTTCTAAATCAGCTGGTGGTTGACAGTAACGCTCTTGGCTGTTTCTGAGCAAATGGAGTCATTTTGTTGTAAGCAGAACTTGTAGGCTTCTGGCACAGGATGAGGTTCAGCGTGTGCCCCTGTGTCGGTGAAGTAGCTTGTCCTCTGGCATGTGGATCTAGGCTAACAGTGTAGCACCATGTTCGCCACAAGGAGGAAGGCCCTGGAAGCCACATCTGACTGCCAAGAGCAAGTGTTAAAACAATGTCTCTTCATTGTGCAGACCTCTAAACGTCGTCAAGCGTTTTAATTCAGACTAAGACACACAATTTGAAGTTAATGCCTTTTATACATTTGATACATGGTTTGTCAGCATTAAATGTGCTCTGGATTTTTGGTGCTCTGCACTTCCAGAGACCAGTGCAAAGGTTAAAAGGCCTTGTCACATGTGTAATACAATGGATAAAGATAACATTTTGTCTTTCTGTTTTAATTTCAATTTGAGATTTACATTGTTAAACTGTGCAAAGGTCGGCCAGTGCTGGTTAATCTTCAAAAATGTTTGTGGATTCAGAAACCATTAGATCTTAAAAGCTAGCTAACTGTGCTTTTGGCATAAGATGAAATGGACACACAGGCTGTCTTGTGGTTCTCTGCTCTCAAAGCACATCACACCATTTTGGCTTTGCCTTGGTAATATAAGCCCTCGAGACCTGGTCACTGTTCTTTTGTCCCCCTTGCAAAGATACTATGGCATGCTTCCAACTCCTATCCCCATTCATTTTTCACACACTTCCCCCATCCTTTCCCTTTTTGTCTCTCCCTCCCCCTTCCATTCTCTTCACAGCTCACAACTCTTGTCATTTGTGTTTATTGGACCCAACTGACTTTGATTGCCATGGTATTGCCCCAGAGGTTTCACTTGGGGTGTACTCAGCATTTTCTTTGAAATTACACTTTGTTCATGTTTGTAGTCCCAATAAGAAGTGGCCATGTTCACTGTGCATGATGGAATGTGAAGTGTTTCTTTGTTCTGGGTCTCTTCACATCTATGTGTGTTCTCTCTGCCTTTTGTGAACATGAACTTCTGCCTTTGCCTTTCATGTGTGAATGAGGCAGTATGTAAATCTGAACCTGGGTCTCATATAGAAATACATGTCCAATACTTGGAACACATTTCTTCAGTCATTCTGTTCCTCTTTTGCGGGATTTTTCCACACAACAGTTATACCATGTTGAAGGAAAGTCCCCATTAGCAGTGTTTATACTTCTATCTGGCAAATTTATAAGCTTCTGTTCAATGAAGTGCTCTCTCTGCAATGTGTGTGCAACCAGTTTCAGTCAGTCTTGGACATTGTTTCATACGGATCCCTTCTCATCTGTTCCTGTAGGTGCCATAAAGATGATGGTGGAATAGTGAGCAAGCAGGTCAGTCTGGCTGGTTGAGGTGTGGAGGGGACACCACAAACCACGCCAGGATTCTGACTAATAAAATTTCCACTGCCCTCAGTAAATCTCCTCATCATCCATGTCTGTCCCTGCATCGTAGCTACAATTATGGTCACACTTATCACAGAGCAGCTCCGTAAGCAGAGTTTGGAAGAGCCTTATCACAAGGCTTTCTCATTCAATGTGAATGTGGTAAGTTGGAAACAAAACTAAACCTTTTTTTTTTTTTTTTTTTTCCTTGATTTGTCTGATTGGATTTAAGTTATTATGTTTCTGTTTCAGTCATTACCTGCAGTGGGCTCAAGTCCCACTGTCTCATGGAGTGCTTCTCGATCAAGACAAGGCAAGTTCATTGAATGAAGTGCAGCATCTGCGACCCATTGGTGGGGAAATCTGTCTCATGTCTGTCTTTTGGCATTTTCAGAGACCAGCTCAGCTACACACTCATCATCCAAAGCCAATCTTCAGGATGATTCCTGTGGACTTGACTCCCTATGGCCTCCTCCCCACTCTGGAGAACGTCTCCAGAGAACGGAGGTTTCCTTCATAGACAAGGCTTTCCAAAGCTCACCTCCGCCACCACCTCCAAAACGCCACTGTCGGTCCCTCTCTGTTCCAGAGGACCTGTCTCGGTGCCGCTCCACTTGGCATCCTAGTGCATCCAAGGTTTGGACCCCAGTCAAACGTGGCTGCCAAAGTGGAGGAGCATCTAGTTCAGGCTCTGGAGCCAGCTCTTTGCCACTTTGTGGTCCCAGTTCCTCTTTCACCTCTTCCTCCTTACACTCATCTTCTAGCCCTACCTTCTTTAGCTTAGCACTGTCCTCTGATTCCCCACTACCATGGAGCTTCCCATGGGACCCCTGTGACACACTGAAAGGAGCCTGCTCTGCGTCCTTTGCCACTCCTTCCTCCTGCTCCTCTTCACCGGCCCCCCTGATTTCTCACTCAATGCTGCAGCGCCGCTTCTCCCTCTCCCCTGTGCACATTCAGGACACCTCTGTTGTGCTCCTGCCCCCCCAGCCCTCCCCTGCTTCTGCTTTGACATATGGCTGTGCTGGCATGGAGCACCCAGCCCTTTCTCCATCTCCCACTTCAGCCTGCAGTACACCATCCTCCTCTAGGCGCGACCTGCATCCGGCACTGCCGCGATGCCACTCACAGCCCTGCGACATGCGCAAACCCCGCTTGAAGAGGCGCCATGACCCAGATGTTATTCCGTACCCCAGGCCAGGCCTTGACTTCAGCAAGATGACACAGGTGAGCTTGAAAGTCCAATGGACTGTCATGGTATGTTGTTGCTCTCAGTCTCTTTTATATTGGTGCATATGTGGAGATACACATTGATGCTGGTATCAGGAAGTAATCGGCAGGGCTGAGTTCACTTGTGTCCATTTTTTTTTTTTTTTTTTTTTTTTTTTTTTTTTTCTTTTTCTTTTTCTTTTTGTGATCTGGAACTTGGAGAGCATTAGTAGGCCTCTGGCAGCACCCCATCCCCCACAACTGTGGCTCAGCTCAGTTAAGCTTGACCCCCTATGCTATCACCTGTACTTATTTCAGATGGGGGGGATCATTAGTGAGAAATGGGGCCCCCCAGATTGGTGTCCATATTCCTGTTTCATTCACATTGGTGCAGATGGGTTTTGATTCTGGGATTTTTCGGGGTTTTTGGTGAAGGTAATTTTACCCACTTGGCAACAAACACAATAACACAAATTCTAACCATTTTGACCCATGTGTGATGAGACTTGTCACAGGTTTTCCTGGTTGCAGCTGCTTAATAAAGCATATGAGAAGGAGTTCATAAAGGCTGTCCAGGCAAAATTCTTAAGACTGACAATTTCAACCTTTTTTTTCTTTTTTTTTAAGTTTACCTTTCCCTTATTCTGTGCTAATATGTTACCATAAAAAACCACCTGTACACACTCAAAGTTAGTTAACAAAAAAATTACAGTAATTTGGTTGGCTGGTGCCCATGATGCTTACCCACACATTCTGATCTATGTGTCAAATAGGTTGTTACATATTTAACACACTTAACAGGATTAAATAACATTAATGTAAATTACATTATTTAAATAGGAGTCTCAAGGTTGTAGAGTGATGTTTAGGCTGACTCTTTCAGCCAGGTCACACATGCCATACTTAACCAAAGAAACAGGCACTGCCATCCATGCAGAGTTCCTGGAATTGCCAGTGATGTCATTACTGCACCACCTTTATTTTATTAACTTTGGGTGTGGAACCTGGTATCAGGATGAAGCTGATAATTCAGCTGTATTAATGAACACTGGGAATGAGACTATGGTCCCATTTTTAGTGAGGTGTTTTGCCACATGTTTAATAGAATTGTCACATGATGCTCATAACGCTTCTGTCTCCTATGTAGATTGGTAATCGTGAGAGCCAAGTGTGTGGCACAGGTGGCTGCATAGTTCCAGTTTCTTCCCAGGCAGAACAGCGCTCAGCCTTCTCACCTGCTGAGTTCCTGGGACGAGCCAGCATTGGGCCACTAAGTGAAAGTGAAGAAGATGAGGAAGAAGATAAAAGAAAAAGGACTGTTATAGATGGAGGACAAAAGATTGTTTTTGAAAGAGACTGCACAGAACTGGACTTGAACCTTATAGAAGAAAACTGACCACTCCTTGGGTGCTCCCAGTGTGATTATTGCATTCATAACCATGTTAAGCACACCTGTAGGCTTTGTGCGCTCTTCTGGCAGAATCCTTGGGAACCTGCTGCCCTCCTAAGGCATATGACCAGAGTTCGTAATCAAGAACCAAGTAATTAGGAGCTAATATCAAATTACAATATTATGATTGTAACACTTGAGCTAGTTCACTGTTCAACATTTCACAAAAATGTCAGTGCCTGCCTATTCACTCCATAGGGAAATGTGCATGAGCAAATAAGCGAGTTTTCATGCACACAGATTTTTGGCGACTATTTCATATTGATACAAGTCTTAATTAGCATTAATCATCAGTATGCATCTTGATATCCTTATCAAAGAACACTATATAGTGCAGGAAGCAGAATATTCTTAATATTTCCTCATAAGTGATTTGAATACACACTCAAGGCAATATTTGAGCAGGAAAGAGGTAAGCACTCCTCAGTGCCCCATCAGTTACTGGTGTGTAGTCAGTCTACTTTAGTATTCGGGTCTCTGAATTTGGACGCAAGTATGTGTGAGCTGGTAATGGTGGACATAATGTTGCCATGTGTCGGTCAAAATAATATGCGAGTAGTCCAAACAACATAAGAATACTATCTATATGTAAATGCTCTCCTGTTGGTTGAACAGGATACATTCCAAGTTTTTGCTGCAGATCTTGAAATCCCTCACAAATCCCCAAAAAAATCTACTTTACCTGTTGTTTTGTCATCAATTTAGCCTGCTCTTTTGGAGCAACTCCATATCATCAAAGGGAAGCTTTTCTTGTGATAGAAGAAAGGATACCTCGCCCTTTTTGTTAATATGTGCTTTTCTTTTTGGAGTTTTCTCAATTTCTTGAACATAAAACACCTTTTCAGCACTCATAATGATGATATTGTAAACTGACCATGCCTTAAGCTTAAAATACAGAGTTCTTGGTGCTCTGGTCTTCTTTTCACAGCCAGACATTTTTGCAATCTCCATTTGCGCTGATTCAGATATTTTTGAACAGGTGGCACATGCACTATAATAGTCAGTTGAATAACTGAATTGATGCTGCAGCTGGACTTCATAGGGCACAATGAAATGTACTGTACAGTGGTTAGAGTGAGTACACACGTCGAGCCGATTCTATGAGTGTATGTGACAAAGGTGGTAGTGATGCAAATGATTTGGTGGCCTTTCAGAAATGATTTTTCATGTGTTTTCAGATGGAAATATTACTGTTGCACAATTTATGTACAAATAAAATTTAATAGAGAATGATATTTTTTCCAAAAAGTGTCTTGCCTTCCATTGAAAAATAATTTATCCTTCCTGGAGTCAAATAAAAGAGCAGATCAGGGGCCAAATGATTATCAGATTACTGTGTGACCTCTAGCGGCTGATTGAAGTATAATACAGATTTTGCTTCGAAATGTAAAATATTAATTTCATTTTTACTTTAGCAGCAGCTATTTGTGCATAGATAGCTAATTTTTATATTAGAGGAAAAACATTTCACACCAACATTATTAACCTGAATTAAATCTATGTAAAACTGAAAAATTAATGAATCGTTGGATCTTTGAAATTATTCAAATGCGGATAAAGTTAAGTACACTGGAAAAGTTTTTTTGGTAATTGCATAAGCAGTCTTGTAGCTGCTGAGGAGTCTTGCATGTCTTGGTCAGCCGTGGAAGGTGAGGGCGCTCCTTCCAGGCCAACGATGATTTTTCACAGACCGTCTGACCCCCCCAACAGCAAGCCACTTCCTCTTTTGTCTAATTTCATGGCGATCGGGAGAGAGGGAACACCACCGACGCACGCACACTGTCTCAGCACTCTTGAAAGAGTTTTTTCGGGGTAAATAATTGACAATTTTTGCAAGATTCGGTCACTGGGTTTCAAAGTAGTATTGCTTGAATTCAGTAATGTGGGTGATTCACCTTTCCCTGTAGAATTAATTCATTTTTTCAGCTTCTGGATCAGATATTTCACATTGTAGCGCCACTCGCTGATAACAAATCGGACGAAATGGGCTCCCCCTCCGCCTGCATCTTTCCCACACACTCAGCGGCACGCTAGTTAACGGCTCTGGCTAGCTAACGTTAGCAACGCTGCAAACGCCTAATATGTGTAGCTATGGAGATGCGTTATTTTGACACACTTCAAAGTTAGTGGCTGATAATTAACATTCAATACTGTGTATGTTCGAGAGTTAGCAAGAATTTGTTGTTACATTAAAATGTTAGCCACTTAAAGTCCTCAAATGTTTGTGTTTGGATTAGCTAGCCAACATCGGCTAGTTAGCTGCCATGCTATGTATTTAGTTAGCGTTAGCCTGGGTCGCGATTCAGAAGTTAATGTTATCTGAACTACCTCAGAACGAACAGACTAATTGTGGAAGGTTTGTCACCTAACATGAATTAAATAAGTGTAGTATTTGCATGGAACAGATAAATGTCCACCATTCATTTTAAGAGTCCCGGGTATTCTCGGTAGCTGAGAAAAGGGTTAGCTAGCTAGTTAACGGTAACTTGGCAGCTAACGAGAGGCTCTGTGATGTTGCATCGTGAAGTTACCGTTAAAGTTAGACACCCATACGTATAACGTTAACTGTGTGTACGAGTAGTGTTGTTTTTACAAGCTAAAGTAAAGTTGACCGCTAAGTTGGAAACCATAATCAGCCAGGACCCTTAACAGGTTGACAAGATAAAACTAGTGAACTGTAAGAGTAAAGTGACTTGAGTACCAGCCAGTTTTGAACGCTAAAATTACTTTAATCAAACAAGTTTATCATCGGGAGATGCACATAACAGTACATTTTATTGTGTATGAAAGCTTTGCCAGTATTGATAACATGGAGTGCAGTGATTCTAACTGAATGACACTATCATATCTGAAGCTAGTATACCTCTTCTTTGTTTACAGTGTAAACTAAGTTGTCAATCATTGGCATAACGAACATTGTTCTCCAGGTGAGTTTCTGTCTACAGTTTGCTACTATAGAAATAGCCCACTATCACGAATTTCTCTGCTTTTAATTTGACGAACTTAGTTTTTTTCCAGTGGTGAGTGAATGGTTACTGTTCAGCCTGAACTTTTCAAATAACCCTTTTCATTGTTTTAATTGTTACACATGAATGTACTACATTTTCATGCCAGGTAAGCTGTGGAGACCAGCTGCCGAAATACAAAACAATTGTTCAATGCTAATTTTAACACTAAATTCATTGTCCAGTGCCCAATTTGTATTTTTCTACAGTTCACTATTCATGAGAACATGAAGTCATTCAGGTAGTTAATGTTTTTTCTTGACTGACTTTTCGTATTTGTGTGCAGGTGAATCTAAGTGGACATCATTAAAGGGGCCCCATAGCACTTGGATCTGTTCTTCTCTGTCCCAGGTTCAGACTGCTTGGTCTATGGCGCTGATGGACAAACACAAACAGGTCAAGCGGCAGAGACTTGACCGCATTTGTGAGGGTGAGAGTTCATAAATACTCATACCAAGTAAAAGTAAATATGTGGGAGGTATATTTTGTTACTTTGATGTAAACTTAAACTTTTAAATTAAAACTTTATTGTATTCTACACAGGCCATCATAACTATATAAGTCATAGCCTTGTACTAATGAAAGATAATCTTTCATACCTGATTGCAAAGTATATATCATGACTTAATTAAACTAGAAAATTGATAAAAGTTTGCGCATTCTCTGAAATCAGATACTGACAGTTGTTTATTGGGTCATTCATGCCAATCCACCCAGAATTCAGAATTTCATGAAGAACAAGTTTATGTCATGGATATTCTCGGGAAAAAAATCATCTAAAAACTTTTGTTAAATTCATGGGCCTTTGAAAATGCTGTAGCTCTGCTCCAAATAGTTTTCTTATGAATTTTTTAAGTTTGGACCTTGGAGCTAAATTTTTTTTAAATAATTTTTGCGATTCTTTGTGTGTGTATTGTAAGACTCACCAGCATCTTATTTTTAGTTGAAATTTCTACTGAACATGAAAACCTAAAGATAATGAATGTTTTACATTAGTAATCAAATTAATAAAACTTTTTTTTTTTATTGCTAGAATGAAGACTTGAATTTTAAAAATTAATATCTCTTCTAGTTTTCATTATTTTGGAACCAAATTTAGATTCTGTGTAGTATTAATATAGTTTTATCACATCTAGAAGTTATTTGGTCCTGCATAAGTAAATATAACATTGGAGCTTTAAAAACAAAATCCCCTTTTTAAGAAATATTTGCTCTCTATCCCAAGAACGAATATTTTAATTTCCTGGAACAGTGCTAATATTCATTGCTGATATATAAGAATTTAAAAATGTTATATTACTCATTTATCTAATTTAAAAATGATTTGAAAATAGCATAGGTAGATATTTTTACTATGTGGACTTAAAGGTTCTTTGTTTGCAAGTTACAAATTGTAATGGTGTTGTTTGTCACTTACTAAACGATGTCACCTCTTTGCATGTTGGGACAAAATATTAATCTTAGTTCCTTAGTTCAGAACACACATTATTTTGCAGTTTCAGACTCTTCTGAACTAATTTCTTACATCATGGGCTAGTAGCATTAGAAAACAATAAAGCAAGTCTGGGCTAATTCCACCTGAAACAGGTTTGGACAGATTAATTAAAAATGGATTGCAACATACCCAAATATATAAACAAGTGAAATCAAAATTAATCTCATCATTAAGGAGTTCCGTGTGATAGTGAGACCATGGAAAAAGCCTAGAGGAAGAAGCCAACTGTCACAAGACAACTTACACTAATGGAAAAGTTGTGCTTTTGAGTTTGGCTGAGTTGGGAAGGAACTGTTGAAGTTGAGAAGTAGATGTTTGACTTGACAGATGATGCCACAGTTTGGTTGCATTACCTGAGGTACTTTTTTGGGAAATATAGCTTTCTCCAGAAAGAGTTTTGTGATTCCTTTAGCTTGCAGAAGTGGTACCCCATGCCCTCCTTGATGAAGGACTCAGAATCCACTGATGGAACAGAAATTGATATAAAAGAGACAAATCCAACTGCGGAGAATGCAAATTCTTACATGACGGAGTCATATAACATCTTTAAATGTTTTATATAGCTGCAATGAATATTAGCACTTTTCCATGAAAAGGTTTTAAGGAAATTATAACAATCCTTGCAATAATATCTTAACAGGCCAGAGTTTTAGCTCTTAAGCTGTATGGCGCTCAGTTTTTTATGTAGGACCACATAACTTTGAGATGTGATAGAAGTATATTGATACCACACAGAATCAAAATTTGATTTTTAGAAAGTGAAAACTAGTGGAGATATTAATTTTAGAAAAGGGTAAAAAAAATGTTATTTTATTATTTTTGATTACTGTAAAACTTTCAAAAATAACTATGTACCTAAATACATGTTGCAAATTATCCATAGTGTTTCTTGGATGTTCAGTACAAATTTCAACTCAATCCATTTTTAAAATAAGCAATGTGTGAGGCTTACAATACACACACAAAGAATCACAAAAATTATGAAATCTTTGCTCTGAGGGCCAAACTTCATGAATGCAATCTAAAAAATAATTTGGAGTAGAGCTTTAGGATTTTGCAAGGTGCCATGAAATGGAATTTTTTGGAGAAAATCCATGACATGAAATGGGAGGTCCTGGGTAATTTGGTATGGAATTACCCTATTATGCATTTATGCATATTTTGCATAATTCTGCTCTTTAATAGCTGCTTTTGATGTATTTTCTCACTGCTCCAGGAACTTTGTGGTTTTGGTGAAATATTGTTTGTTTTATGGTAATGAAATGCTATTGGTTAACACACTTGACTGGTGTTAGTCACCTTAGGTAGTTAAGTGACCCGCTTTGTGTTTCTTACTTCCTCTCAGTGTGGAGGAGATTGCTGTTTTTTATTTTTCTTATTTTTAGTTAAATTGATGTGCATGGAGTGTACATATGGAAACTTTGCAGTGTCTTTCATATTGAGGATAACAAGTAAACTTTTTATGTTGCTGCAAGCATATGCAGTCATGGCCACTACATAGAAGACTTCTAGAGGAGACAGTATTTTGAGCTGGAGTAGAGTGTAGATGATGGAGATCACACATAATGGTGCACTAAAATGGAGGGAACAGTCTGGGAGCGTCTCAGGAGACGGGTGAAAGGGAGAGGACAAGGTGAAGGGTCGTGGGGCAGGGAAATGGGCCAGCTGTCTCTTTAAAAAATGACAACAGCCCAAACCGCCCTCGGCCTCAGCTTCGGCTATGCTAATGAGGTTAGTGCTGGTTGGCTGGCCCTCAATGGAGCTGCATATGATTGGAGGCTGCTCATGGGGGAGGGACTGGGCGTGGATGACAGCTGGGATCCAGCCAGCCAAGAGCAGGCTGACAGAGAGAGGGAGAAAAAAAAGAGCGATAGAGGGAGAGCAAGGCGAGAGAGGGAGAGAGAGAGAGAGAGAGAGAGAGGAAGACAGGCTGACAGACTTCATAATGCAAGGTTAGGCCCGGTGCTCATGTGTTTTCTATTTGGCATGTGTTTTTGAAATTTGTGAACTATGGGGGGGGGTCTAAGAATTGGGTGTGGTGCAGCTATGTGTGTGCAGTTTCCCTTTTTGTGTTCAGCGCGTATTTGTGTTGCCGCAGCCGTTGAGAAGGAACTGAATAACCAAGTGTGTGTGTGCCTAGCTGTGTCTGGGTGGAGTACGGCTGCTGCTTGCTGCATTATCATCGTTCGCTGCCCCTCCCCCCTCACCTCTTACTCCTCCAACTGCGCCAGAGGGAGAGAGGAGGAGGGAGTGAGGGGAAAGAAAGGGAGAGAGGGTGGGGGGAATGAATGAATCACTGAATGAATTGTATTGTGTGTGCGGCCATGCTTGTGCTTCGTAGGCCTCGGGTATGCCAGTGTCCTTTACTCAGATTACCCCGTGTGTAGGCCTACTTGTGTATTTCTAGAACTACTTTTTCAGAGAGCGTCTTTGTGATGAGCCCCGTTTGATTTCTCTACATAGTAAGAGTCTCTTTATGCTTTCAGTGTGTTGCAGTAAGCCTGTTAGCATTCTTGAGCCATTTGCAATGAATGTGAATCACACTGCTAAACCTAGCTTAGTAAATTGTAAATTTTTTATAAGAGTACCAGGCTGCATGTTTTCCTTGGTGTTTTTGGCTGTGTACATTTAATGCATGCTTTGGGAAATGCTCAGACGTCAGAGGAAGTGTTCACAAATATTTGTTTTCCACCTTCGGCTACCAGCTCCCTTCCCTCCTCTGCAGTCTCACCATTACCTCCTGCCCTCTGTCCAAGTAAATGTTCCAGCTAGACACACTCCCCCACCCCGGGAGACACACACACACCTGTCACACAGCAGGGACAAGATAGTGTGTACTGGTGCATGTGTGGGGTTAGTCCAAGCTAAGAACTGCTGAGAAGAAATAGGGAGAGAGGTGTAAAGAGCAACACTAACAAAACCATTAGTGTTAATTTATTTAATTTCCCCTCATTTCACACTAATGCGCTGGCAGAGATGTGGCATTTATTTCTTGCATTGATTTGTTATTGACTTTTGTTGGCCGAATGGTAAATGGCCATGGTGCCACATGGGCCAAATGCACAGATTCTTGCCAGAAAGGTGTGTGTGTGTGTGTGTGTGTGTGTGTGTGTGTGTGTGTGTGTGTTATCTGTGTGTGTCTGAAGAAAGGGGGTGAACCAGAGAAATAGGAAGGAGGGACTCTTCCAGACGGGAGAATTTAGGTCATGACTCAGACCCCCTCATGAACCCCCACCACCTCCTTTCTGAGACCCCTCAGTTTTCTCCACCCCTCCCCCAGCCGCCACACTCCATCACCTCTCCCCCTCCTGTCCCAGCCCCCCCCCCTCCCCCCCCCCCCCCGCTCCCCCCCCCCCCCCCCCCCCCCCCCCCCCCCCCCCCCCCCCCCGTGTGTGCTCTGCTCATACAGTAGGCAGGTCAAGTTCCCAGAATTAACACTTCATCAAAAGTGCTCTGCTTCATTAACCAGATTCTAACCTTCACCATATGAGGAGTCTAAAGATCTAAGTGTAACAGATGTGGATTGATGAAGACTTGATGGTGTATATTGGTTCCACGCACTACTAAACAGAGCTGGAGTTCAATACCAAATAGGCCTGGATGCTGGACACTCTCCATGCCCTATTACAGATTTAGTTACACATTACTTTTGTAACCAAAGAACACATCACTTCTGTGGGACATACACCCACACATCCTGGTAGTTTCCTTAGGGTGCTGATGGAAAAAGAGTCATAAAAGCTTGAGTTATTATTGTCTAAGCAGTGTGGCAGTTAGCCCTGTTAACTTTAGTCATGTGTGGTGGGGGATTTTGTGTGAGGGTATGATGACTTGCATCTTGTCAGGTAGTCCATGGGAAACGCAGACTGTTGAGTCACTAACCTCCAGTTTAACTTTAGTGGTTCTGAAATACAAGTGGCTGGTAGCTGTGTACACTAAGTGTCATCAATAATTGCAGTAAGAATGAGATGAAAACCTGTAACATAAAGCTTTAAGTGTTAATTTGCTTTTAATGTGGTTCGGGGACTTTTATTTTTAGCATTTTTTTTCCTTGATTTGTAATGGTCATTAAATATTTAACCACTTTTATTTATTACTCACATGTAACAACAAACACTTGTTTCTTCCTTCTGGTCTCAGGTATCCGACCCCCCATCCTGAACGGGCCAATGCATCCGCGGCCCCTGGTAGCCCTGCTGGACGGGCGGGACTGCACTGTGGAAATGCCCATCCTCAAAGATGTGGCCACAGTGGCCTTCTGCGATGCCCAGTCCACACAAGAGATACATGAGAAGGTATGCACATAACCACACTGTTATCACTATCCATGAGAGCAAAAAAATTTTTTTGATTCATCCTGTAGTTTGAAAGTAATCCACATCTTCACTGTACCCAAAAATACGTTGCCCTCTTCTTGTCCAGCATAACTGTTGCTACCGACAGCCTGCCAATTAATAACTAATATTTAGTCAAGCTTGGTCCCTTCTTTCCAAGTGACATGATTGCATGTCCCTTGTTGAAGTGGCGTAATATTTGAATGTTTAGTGCATTTTACTGTGATGAACATTCGGATTATTCAAATGCATTTGTCCTTTGTAGGTGCTAAATGAGGCAGTGGCCGCTCTGCTGTACCACACCATCACTCTATCCAGAGATGACTTGGAAAAGTTTAAAGGCCTACGCGTAATTGTCAGGATTGGCTCAGGCTTTGACAACGTTGACATCAAAGCAGCTGCTGAACTAGGTGAGCTAACCCAGAACAGCACTCGAAGTTATTCACAGTACTCCTCATGACAGGTGCTGTTGTCTTTAATGCTCATCTTTTTCCTCCTCGTTTTCGCCCCTCCACGCAGGCATTGCTGTCTGTAATGTGCCAGCAGCCTCGGTGGAGGAGACAGCCGACACTTCGCTATGTCTGATCCTCAACCTGTACAGACGAGTCACCTGGATGCACCAGGCCCTCAGGGAGGGAACCCGTGCCTCTAGTGTGGAGCAGATCAGGGAGGTGGCAGGCGGTGCTGCTCGTATCCGGGGCGAGACCCTGGGCATTATTGGCCTGGGTGAGTGAAAGGCGTGGGCAGGGGTGGCTAGATTAGTTAAAGAGCATTATTGCTTCATATTCCAGTAGTGCCTTTAATCCAAGATTGTATTTGTCTCATTGAGTTATAATTCAACATAATTCATTTTGTGCTGAAATGCATTAGAGGATCTGATTAATCCAGTGGTTCTCAAACTTTTTCTGCATGCCCCCCCTCAGAAGTCGAAAAAGATTCACACACACCCACCCTACAAAATTTATTCCTAACTCTATCAATAATAGGGGAAACAACTAATGTTCCATGTATCCATGTTGAATTTTAGTGAAATAAAAGTCAGCAGGATATCATCAGCAAATTTTTCATACATCAGTCATACTTATTCAACTTAGTTTCATTCTAAATTTTTTTCCCTGGTCGTTCACAACCCCCTGCAGTGACCTGAGAACCGCTGGTTTAATCCAAGCTGACAGTTGATGGTCAGACAAACAGTATGCTGTAGGACCTGTTTGGTATTTATGATTTCTATTTTGGTTCCAACAGGGGCACCTCAGTGGCTGTTAATAACCTTACCATTTCTCTTTGTCTTGCAGGGCGTGTTGGCCAAGCAGTGGCTCTGCGGGCCAAGGCCTTTGGTTTTGGCGTGATCTTCTATGACCCCTACCTGCCCGATGGCGTGGAGCGTTCACTAGGCCTGCAGCGCATGGCCACCCTGCAGGACCTGCTCATCCACTCGGACTGTGTATCCCTGCACTGCAGCCTCAACGAGCACAACCACCACCTCATCAATGACTTCACCATCAAACAGGTGTGTAGGATACAATCCGAATATGCACAACACAAAATTTGTCTTATGATTGCTTTCTCATCAGCAGGCATTTTGGATTTTTGTTTGGGAAAAAAGCAACATCTAATTATGGTGCACTTATGTTAGCTTGGTTGAAATACTGTAAATAAAAAGCCTGCCTGTATGTTGCTACTGGATCATCTTAAATAAGATTGAACCATTTCATCAGATTTCTCTGAACACTGTGATGCATTAGTGGAGTGGTCCTCAATTTTATTAAAATGAACTGTATCTGGATTTATTCATCATTCATAATGTCATTCATTCGTATCAGTCATTTTGAATTTCTTATCAAATCAGTTTTTTCCTTCCTTCTGTGCATCTGGTTCTGACTTATTTTTTCCCTCTTGCTGTATGTGGAGCAAAAAGTTGTTTGCTCGCTCTGAGGTTTAGCTACATTACCATGTTAAGTAAATTGCTGCTTTAGCACATTGGGTCCTGTCCCAATGTGAGCCCATCCTTTTCTTTAATAGATTAATGGGATGTAAAAGTTAGTTATGCAGCCTGTCAAGCCTAATATGCGGAACCCTGAACCATCTATTAGACCAACTGGTTGATATCATTTGCAGTTCATTGTGGGAGGCTGCCACCAAGAATTGGCATTCAGTTTTTATATGCAGCTTAAAATCCTGATTCATGCATTTGGCCGACAATGTTTGAGTACAATTATAATAGTGTAGGCACCTTGGCCTGAATCAAACATTGCCTCTATATTCTAGGGCAGTCTGTATTATAGATTGGAAGAATAAAAGTTGAATATATGTGTCCCATATGATGTCAGTGTTTACTGTTGGTATTTTGTGGCAGATTGAAAATGTCAGCCTTTTTGGACTTAGTCTGCTCCTCATAGTTTAATCATACTTTTTCTAACTCTTGATACAGATGCGTCAGGGAGCCTTCCTGGTGAACACATCGAGAGGGGGTCTGGTTGACGAGAAAGCATTGGCTCAGGCCCTGAAAGAGGGCCGGATACGAGGGGCTGCCCTGGACGTCCACGAGACAGAACCATTCAGGTAACCATGGTACACTACTGGGTAGGGTGGGCAATCTGACCAAAAGATCATATGACAATCTTTTTAGGTAGGATCATGACCCAGGTATATCCCCACAGATTTAGTTGAACTTGTGATGACATGACTAGTTGTAGTTCACTGGACACAAAGCCTCTAACTTCAACTCAAAGGCCCAGCTCACAAATTTGTTCAAATTCCCGTCTCCTCCGATCATCTGAATGTGATCTGATGTATCCTTCCGCCGCTTTGATGGTTCTTTTGGATGTTTGTCCACTTGCCGCTGTTCTTTGCCCACAATGCTGTGTTCTGTTTACAAATTGTCACACCCAGTCACACTTTTTGCTTAGTTAATATAGAGTATTCGTTTGGTCAGCGCTGTTATTTAATTATGAGATGCTATATGTAAATTTAAATTTGAAAGTTCAGTCGCTGTCCCAGCTTGTCCCATCTCGTCCCATCTTGTGTTTCCCTGCATGCAGGCACATCTCTCACTCAGCAGATGGATTGCAACTCCACCGACCCAGACTGCAGCTGGTGACGGTTGTTCTTGTTCTGCTCAGGTGGAGAACTGGTACGAGGGCCTCAAGCCAAGCTCGCCGAGGCTGCAGAGCAGAACAAGAACTACCGTCACTGGCTGCAGTTAGCAGGCTAGCTGCTTAACCATTAACAATTGGCTTATTAATTGTATTGAAGACATGATCTACGATTCATCTGAAAAGTAGATCATATGCCAAAGAAAGATCGTCCATGATATAAGATCATCAGATCGCCCACCCACTACCACTGGAATACACTTGCCCATGTACGACCACAGATGTGCATGACAACACAATCGCATCACTCCTCTCTGTAACAACCTTTCCCCTTCTTAACAGTTTTTCAACAGGCCCTCTGAAGGATGCCCCCAACCTAATCTGTACCCCGCACACATCCTGGTACAGTGAGCAGGCCTCTGTGGAGGCTCGCGAGGAGGCAGCCAGGGAGGTTCGGCGTGCCATCACTGGTAAGACACACACTTTGAAAAGCATCAAATCTTGGCATTTGAGAAGCTGAAACCAGCAAACCAATGACCTTTTTATATATATGACACACACACTCCACACGCCGTTATTTATCATTTTATATTCGAAAATAATATTAAACTTGAACATGTTGTCAAAAAACAGGATGCTGTCAGTAGCATGAACTCTGTTTTTCCATCTCGATGAGGTTGTAATGGTCTGTTGTTCCTGCTGTAGGGCGTATCCCTGACAGTCTGAAGAACTGTGTGAATAAGGAATACCTGATGGCAGCCTCTCAGTGGCCCAGCATGGAGGCAGCCACTGTTCACCCAGAACTTAATGGAGCCACTTACAGGTGAGGGTCATGAGGCTGAACATGGATCTGGAGGCAGTAAGAATCAGCTGTCATATGATTCTTGGGCTTTTTCTGCCTGTGTTTTAGATTTCCTCCAGGCCTGATCAATGTTGCAGCAGCAGGGGGTCTCCCAGGAGCTGGCGCAGGGGTTGAAAGCCTGGTTTCAGGAACCCTGGCGCATGGTATCGCCCCCGTCTCTCACCCCCCCCATGCCCCCTCTCCGGGGCAGCCCACTAAGGCTGAAGCCGACAGAGACATCCCCTCCGACCAATAGCCCCCCCTGCCGCCGCCAGTACATTCCGTCACCTCTGGAAACCACCCCCCACCCCCACTTCCCAGCATCAGACACAGCCCGACCCTCCAGTACATCGGCAGCACCAGTTTGACCTGACGTGGATCTACACAGTCTTGTTTCTCAGATCACATAACCAGCCCAGGAGTGACCTATCCACAGCTACCCCACATCCCACCCACATCCCTCCAGAACACACACCCATCCCTCCATCCAAGTCTGCATCTCACCCACCCACATGCCATCCCCTCCTCCCTTCACTCCCCCACAACGTCAGCAATAACTCTGTTCTCAAGGATTCAATGATTGGATTGGTTTATTTCCTTAGTTGGCCGTTGTTTTAATGGAAAGTTGATCTGTTGTGGTTCTAGGTGTTAATGTTTGTTTGTTTTGTAAAGAAAAAATAGCATTTCTGACACGAGGCTTTACAGTCTGCTGCCTCCTGCAGTCCTCCTCTGACCAGTAGAGGCACAGAGGCAGAAAGTTTGAAGCCCCCCTTTGTACATTAATGGCTCATGTTACTGCTCTCTTCTTTTTCTTTTCTTTTTTTCTCTCTCTCCCCCTTCACCTTTGTTGTGATGGGGGAAAGTAAACCAGACAGAATCACAAACAGTAAATCCTGTCCTCCCCACCAGGCATCTAGCTACCCCTCAGTCCAATTTTGCCCTTCGTCCCCCCACCCCCCGGCACTGTCATCATTTTGTTCAGCAGAGGGATCCTTAATGCTGTCAGTGTGGAGCTATTACAGACTGTCAAAATATATTTTATCTACTCAGCTCACACTTAAGCAACCTTGATGGAGTGACAGCCAAAATCTTATGTCACATTTTACCGCTGTGATTGTCCAGATCGGGTACAGTCATCCCTGTATTTACACATGTTTTGTCCCCCATGGATTTTTCTGTCATGACATAATAGCTTAGCGCATCATATCAGAGAGCACCTAGGTGTGAATTTCTATCTCATGCCAGCAGCCAGGGTGCTGCGTGTGAGGTCTCTGCACATTGGGCCCATACAGTATCAAACACAGCAGCTTTTTCTTGCTGGAAAAACAGCAGCATGCCAGGGACCTCACCAGCAGAGGGCACTGTCTGACCACTCAGAGCTGCATGCAGCTCATGTCAGTCAAACAGATGGACGGTTACAGGTTAGTTTTAGTGAAGAAGAACATGATCACACACTGCCGACATTCAGAACACAGGATGGGTGACCGGGGATCGACTACCGCCTTATTGTTATTGCCTCACTGTACCCCACCCCCCCACCCCCTCACCACCACCACCACCACCAAGCACCCACCCACCCACTCTGCACTCTTCTCCCACTGTCATAACCGACCCTACACATCTGCTCATGAACCAGTGTGCATCCACAAATTCCTTGAAGTGTGAGGGGACAGTAGAGATTAGATTCCCTGTAGGAGCAAGGGGACAGTGTTCTTGCATGCTGGCTTTATTAATGACAGTGGTGTGTGTGTGTGTGTGCGTGCGCGCGTGTGTGTGTGTGCGTGCGTGCGCGCATGCTTGTGTGTGTGTCCACGTGCGTGCATGCGTGCGTGTATGTGTGTGTGTGTGTTTGTATGTTCCCTCGCCCTGTTATGATAACAAGCTGTTGTCTTTCCAAAGGAATAGTCCCTAGGAGTAACTCTTTAACGCTGTTGCCCTGGTGTCAAGGGAACACCTTTCTAGTACCTCAGTAACAGATATTGAATGTACCGTGCATACCCTTTTATTTTTTGTACAGATTTTCTAGATACTTCTTTACTATTCTTTACCAGAAGGGTTGTGAAATTGTAGCAGTAATGATACAATAAAAAACAATTGCCCCATAAAATAAATTGACAAAATCTTTGTAGGTTCACTATAGGTCATTGAATACTCAGGCTTCAAAACCAGTGTTTATCTCCTTCCCTTTACCTTTTGATTTCCTCTTTGTGTAAAAGTCAACACAACGCTTTCCCATTCTTAGACTTCAGACTGTAGTAGATGTGTTTTGACCTCCATCTTACCGGCTAATGAAAAATGAGGAAAAAAACAAAAGGCGGTCGTCGTGGTCTGCTAGTTCTCTTTTATTAGAACAGTAGTAGTAGATGCTGTTTGGTTTTGTTTTGTTTTTGTTTTTTTTTTACCCCCCTTCATTGTCAAGCTGCTCTATCTATAGTGCATGTGAGGTAATTTTCTAGGGGAAATACTATTGGCTTAAAAAAAAATTGGTGTCATCTTGCTGTTTCCCTCTGCTCCCCGGCCTTCTCCCCCTCAGAGTGTTTTCAACCCGAGTTGCCATTTTTGTCGTGGTCAGTTTTCCAGTGATGTACAGTTTTCCCCTCAGAGTCTATGAGAGACATGGAGCATGTCTGTGTCCTGAGATGCTAGGCTCCTCTGTCATGTGATGAGTATATATTTTTAAAAAATAACCCCCATAGTTCGGATTATGAGCATTATAGTAATCTTAAATTTTGCTGTTGATGATGATTATTATATATTTTTTTTCAGTTCAGCAGTGCACTGTTATGAAAACCATTCTGTTTTTATTGTAGGATTTCATTTTTATGGATATGCTGTCTGTGTTCTACATGTTGTACTGAAACATTTCAGAGAAAACAAGAGATCCCTCTCGTGGTGATTTTTTTTTTTTTAATTTGTCTTATCCCAACTGTCCTTTCCAGCTGATATCCTCTGGGCCTTACTATTTCTCTCCTTGTTAAAGTAGCTGTTATAGAAAGTCGCCATGGAACCACTCACTGCCTTAATACAGTTGACCACAGCAGGTGAAGTCAGGAGACACACCCAGTTGAAAAGAACGGGCCACAGTGGATGCCGCTCCGCAAAAAGCTCTTCACACCCCGACAGGAGAAAATCTACAGCACCTTGCATTTCTTTGAACGACATTTGCCTTTGTAGACAGTTTTTGGCTCATTCTGCAAACACATAAAACCAGTGTGAATTCTTATTGTGCATTAATGTTATTTTTTGTTTGTCTTCTAGTTTTTAATAGTTAAGTTACCCTGGCAGTGTGTATGTGCGTTGGCTAACAGATAAGCACAGTGTGTATGCTCACAAAGCCACAGCTGATATTTCACTCTTGGGTGTGAGAATGCCCCCCCCACCCCCACCCCACCCCCCACCACCACTCTGGGGCTCTTAAAGTGTCTTTCACAGTGCTGCCAGAGCCCCAGTGGGGCTGGGAGTGGGAGGGAATAGCGGACACTGGTGTGGTCTGTCAAAAAAAAAAAAAAAGCAGAAAATTACGGTGAGAATTGGTCACTTTTTCTCTCTCAGGGTTCAAATGCACACATATCCTCCAGCAGTCGCCCTCTGTCTTGTGTCCCTCATCCCAAGTTTTCCGCCCCCAGAATGTAGAACAGCCTCCTGCGTTTTTAGAAACCGCTCTCCCCTCATTTCCCCTTTGTGCACAGGTCTGAACTTTTTTTCTTTTTTTCCTGTTTTGCTTTCTTTTGGCACTGACATCTAACCATCTAACAAGGAATGAATGAATGAATGTTTGAAAGTGACTGTGTGTAATGTTAAAATTGGGAAATGTATTTTTACAACATGTGAACATGTTTTTTTTCCACTCACTCTCATTGTGAATTGATTTTTTTTTCTTTCACCAGACTGCAAAAACAAAAAGAAAAAACAAAAATGAAAAAAAAAAATCTCCTGTAACTAGGCTCTTAAGCTTTATTTTTGTTTTGTTTACTTTTTTATTAGAAACAATCATGTTTGTGATGGTAACTTCCGATGGTAAACTCCACACCGTATTTTAATAAAATCTTAAAAATTAAACATTTGCTCCGTTGTTTTTAACTTTCCAAATAATTATCTGCTGGTACCAAGAAACCTTTTGTAGTGAACCTGTAACTGGTTATGTCATTTGAAAAAGTTTCTGTGCTTGATTATGATGGTCAGTGAGTTGATGACAATTAATGCCAGTTGCCATTATTTAGTCCCACTGATTACACTCAGTTACTTCAGGACATGTTTACGGAGCTTTAGCCATTAACAAAATTGTTTGCTATACAGTTTGTCAGCTCTTTTATATGGCAATGAGGGGTTATGCGGTGCCAGAACGGGCACAGTTTTACAAGTGGGCAGACTAGGTGGGGAGTATGGGAAAGGGGGTTTCTGTGTAGACCCACAGGGCAGAGGAGGGTGGGGTATTATCAGCCCCAAAATTGCTACCACATGCACATAACCAGGAGCCTGCTCTTAAAATGGAGTGAAGGGACTGAGAGCAGAGGTCCACTCACCAGAGCTGGCTTCAGAAGCCCTGACTAAAGGCTGGCACCCTCAGGTGTCAGGGTGCCATGGAGTCCTTATGGTGCTCATCCAGTGATTATTTTCAGCCCTGTGACTGGCACTAATGTGTTTTTAATACAAATACAGTTCACCAATTTAGCATTGCACTCCTTTGTCAGACTCATGGTGGACAGTTAAAAAGTAGAAACCTTGTAGCAGAGCCAGACATAACCTTTTTTCTTCCCTCTTGTCAAAACTGGTGCATACATTACCCACAATGCAACTCAACCACTAGCAATTTAGTCTGAGAATCAAGTGTATTTATGCTGGCTAGGGGCTGTCATCATATCAGATTTTCACTACACGATTATTGTGGCCAAACCAATTCACAATAACAATATTATCACAATATCTATAGAAAATTTTAATTCTGTGCTTTGTCTCTTTTTTTCCCCAAATGAATTGTACTCAAATACGAGTGTAGGGAGGTGGAGAGAGAGTCATGTTGCCAGGCTAATGGTAGCATTTAGGAGATTTACGATTCACCACATAAAAAGTTATATGCCTACATTAAAGGGGAACTCCACATTAAAAGCCGAGATATTTCAGTCTGGACCAAAGTGGTGAACTGATCGGCCAGCCAAAACCTGAGTCAACTTATTATTTCTGCCATAGTAAGAGTTAGTTTCTAACTCGTACCATTTTTGCCATCTATGGATACTTGGAACCAGAGTCTATACTGTTGCGTGCTGTGCTTGCCAGTTTTTAAGTGAGGGACAGACATATTACGTAACAGCATGTTGTAGTTGAAAGAGGCCCAGGATGCAAGCAGTATTTTAACAGACCTGATTCACACACACTTCAAACACACTCCGGCACATTGCTTCCAAAGACCCTCTTGAGAATGTGCTACGTAGTGCAGCAGAGCATCACCCACCTCTCCCAGCGCCATACATTACCTCTGTCAGCCTCCTTGCTGTGCAGCCAGATTTTTTTTATTTGTTTGTTTAGTTGAAGAGGAGGAGGAGGAGGAGGGCTGTGGTCAAACCAGTAGAATGGGAGTACCAGTTCATGTGCTGCTGCGGCATCAGTATGTTTAGTAAACTACTACCGTACCTGTTTAGTTAACTTCTACTGGTTTTAGTGAGTGGGTCACAAAAAAGTAGAAAACAGCTTGAGTTGGTCAAAGGTTGTGTGAGATCATTTAACTGAGGTCCAGAGATGAGAACATCAACAAAACAACATTGTTTTGAGCCTCGATGGGGAGAAAGAACAGTTTGACGGATCAGGATGTGCGTGTGTTAGCATGTATGCATGCTTGTGCATATATGTCTGTGTGATTAATTAGTCTCCAGACAGATAACCTATCCAACTTGGAGGGATTGGACTACCAACCCCAAAGCTGAGTGGATAAATATTTGTCTTTGGTTGTCTTTGGAATGATTAAATATTATTCCAACCACTGTTGCCAATGTTGCATTGCCCTCAGATTGCAACAGCTTTGTTTTTCCTTTTATTTGACCAGCACTTACTCTTATTACTTTATTTAAAGGATAATTCTGGCAATATTTTTATTTATTTCTTATTGTCAACAAATCCCATGAGAAGACGTAGTTGATATTGAACACATCAATTCATTGGATGACATTTTCGTTTATTACGACTAACATGGGCACTGTAGTTTATTTTGAATCTTTTTGAGCGCACACTCGAACACCAAATGTGTATTAGTCCACAGCTGAAAATAGTCCCCAACAAATGCACTCATTTACTCTTTTTTGAGAAATGCTTACTATAAAACTACAGTGCCCAAGCGTTTTAGGAAATCATTCAGCCTGCTTTTAAAGACCCCCTCCAATGAAAACCCTTGTTAACATGTATTTTTTATATAATACAAGACATATCATGAGCGAAATGAACAGTCAACGCCATGACTGCATATTTCCACCTTGGAACTGCAGTGAACCAATGACATAAAAACGGATTCAGAAACCTAGGGTTTCATATGTCACA